ACTGAATCGTTGTCTTCCCACTCATGCATGCTAAGGAAAATATACAGTGCTTCATAGTAAACTCACAGCCCTCAAAAATGTGACATAGGAAGATAAGGTGGACAGTCAGCAATGATCTGTTAAGTCTTTGAAATATTGTTTTATCCCTGTCTCCCTTTACTCCCTCCTCCTTTTCTTTAAGGAATATATTTTAAGCACAATTACTGAAAATGCAATCTCAAGGGAAAGGGGGAGGTCAGTCTTGCAGCCCTCACTCATATTGTGCAAAGAAGTCGCTTAAGGTTATTTTCCACCTCCTGATTTTTAGAGCTTAAAACCATTAAAAAAAGATCAGAGAGTTTCTGTCTTTTTCTGCTGCGTGGATAGCCTTGGAAATAGAAGGTGGCTACTACTGTAGGCTGAAATGCTTTCTCTCCCTCTCATATATAGGTGTGTATGTATGTACCTATGTATATTTCCTAAAGATTTCACGCTATCCACATTTATTCTCATGCCACTGCAAACTTAATGCCTGTGAGAATCCCCGTGTTTTCACTTTTATAGTTGGATGATTTGCAGGAACTGTTGACAGTCAAGCTGTGGGTAATGACTCCAGCATGCCAAGTCAAACTGGTTCCCACAAGGAAATAGCCAACATAAATGTAAGAGAATAGTCAAAAGTTTATTTCCTTCTTGACAGGCGGAAATTTATTTCCTCCTCTTGACTGGAAGAAAGAAAATATATATATCTCAGCTTCTAAATTTCGTTTGTCTTCTCCTCCTTAATACAGGTACTTGTATTTTCCCTTGTAACTTCCAAAGGAAGCTACTGGTTTTACCCCTCCATTGTTAAAGCTCAGATGTTTTTACCCATTTACTCACTGAGGAGACTTTGTTTTGAATTTCTTTGCAATAGAAAGTATTCATATTTTTAAAGAGTGGAGAACAGCTAAAGCAAGTAAAAATAAATTAATAAATACATAATTACAGTGATGCTTCAGAGAAAAGTTTCTAGGCAGAAGCTAATAACAATGACTAGAGATACCCTTAATATTGTGTGTTGATTCTAGATCCCCTGGGACAGTCTAACAATTAAGCATGTGTTTTCCTGTCCCTTTTGGCCTTAATAGCTATTATGATCATTAAGTGTAACTGCCCTAGACTCTGGTTGCTAAATGCCTTTGTGAGTCCAAGACCGAGTCTGTATCCCCTTGTGAGCGTATTCGGTTGATGAGAAAAAGAAGTATTTTCATTATTCCTCAAGACACTGTTCTCACTCCCATTCCAAAGCTCTACTTCCCTTCCAGAGCAACTCTTTCTGAACTCTTCTTTCTGAACTTCAGTTAATCTTTACTCTTTCTGACACTGTAGCAGCTCTAAAATGCCATTGCTTTTCCCCGCATTTATCATCCTCTTTTTCAGTGTTTGTGGTTGACCCCATCCACTGCAGTCTTGGCTGTGTGGCTGCTGAGCTGGAAGAAACAAACTGAATTGTCACCGCTGCGAAGGCCCCTCTTAAGCAGATGCTCTTCATGATGCAGCTCTGGCCTCAGAAAGTTCAGTGTTATCAGAAAACCTTCAACCCTAGTTTCTTCCAGAATATTACCAACATTTCTTCTACTCCCATGGGAAAAAAAGCAAAAGCTTGTTAAAGGGGTTGTTCCCTGTCATATTAATTGGCAATGCCGATGGGAGATACGGGAGCTGCAAGTAAAGGAACTCACTTTCTCTGCTGCAGAGAGAAGCATTGCAAAAGAAATACACAAACAAATCCAGGCACAAGGTTTTTGACTGATCTGTCACTCCTTGCTGAACTCGCCTGAAATTTATTGCCAGTCAGACAGCATTTCTCTCTGTTTGCTGATTTGATTGAAAGGATGATTTATCAAGGCTCAACATCACTTTGAACGCTGCGCTCCCGTCCGAAGGGTAATGAGTTGTAGGCACCTCTCATGCTCCTTCCCTGTGTGGCTGGGAGATTGCAGGGCACAGTGAGGACCTCATGGTGGCTTCAGGATGAGCCCACTCCTCGCCCTTCTGAGCAGGAGAGGACAGATATCATTTATCAGGAGGTTTCAGGTACCTGTGCAGAGACAAAAAGGGACCATGGATGAGAGAGAGGGAGCGGGATGGGAAATGGCAGTGGGAAGGACAATGAAAATGGCAAGAAAAGGATTGAAACTACCAGAAAATGAAAGGAGAGCTTATTGTTGTCACTGTTATCCCCACTGTCGCTTCATAATGGTGGCTTAAGGCTGTTTGACATCCTCTTGGCTGACTACCATAGCAGAGTCCCATCACAATGTAGTGGAAACTAATGCCTTCTGTCTGCGCGTGTGTTTGATTTGGTTACAGTGAGTTTTTCTTAAGCAGCACTGGTATTTGTTTCAATCACAACAATACCCATCGTCTCACCTTAATTTACAGAGTCATAACTAGCAGTATTTCTTTTCAGCATAAAGAGTGCATTGGAACAAATGCCACTATTTATCAACTGTAATGCAGTTCTTTATAAAGGTCTTATGTGAGCAAAGAATAAAAATGCAATGATAGTCTCACAATAAATACCCTAAATCCTTTATTGCCTATTTATGGTGTAATCTCTCTACAGTTGTACAATATATGACTGTTTAGAAAAAGCTCCAGAACACAGTTATATGGTTTATTTACCAGGAGATGGCAATGGTGATCTACTGCAGTATTAACTTATATACAAGGGCCATATAATTCTTCCGCAACACCACAAACTTCAGTATGAATGAAACCAAAGTATTCCAATACTGTTTTTTCCTTCCTTATTTCTAACTTGTTTCAGTTGCTGGTATTCATTGTAAAGAAAGTCTTTTCTTCCCTTCACATTTTTGATTGAAATTGCTGTCACTACACTTTTTAAAGATGTCTAAATACAATCATACTGGTATTCTGGAAAACAGAATATTATTTAAAAACAGAGCAGCCAATACCATTGAATTAGATATGCCACGTGTCAGAAAAATCAAATGATTGATGAAAGTAAAAGCTTCAAAAATGCATTTAGTTTTACAGTATCCAAATTGAACTTGAGTAGTTAATGAAAAATAAATTATAGGTTAATCTATTAAAAATCATGTTATAATTTTCTATTAAGCTGCTTGAAGTATGATCTTAAAGTACATACGCCAGCTGTTTTACAGAACCTGAAATTAACTGTGGTCTGCAATGTTGTCTGAGTTGTCACATTACCTTGACCTCTAGTAAGGTGTGCATCAATCAGTGCAGCATTGGTGGTCATTTGTAGAAGATCGTCGTCATGACCAGTGGAAGTAAAAGTCTGGCTTTTTATGGGATTGTTCTATGTACCTTTATATCCTTCTCCACCTGACTGCCCATTTGTGACATTTATCCCCAGAAAACTTGTATATGTTGACAAGTTGGTTTGTGCATATTTACTGGATATTTGGCTGTTTTCAAGCAGGAGAAATAACTGATGAGTCTTGTATTTCAGCAGTAGGACAATGTAGATGGTCACTTTCCTCTCCCCAACTATATCCCTGTCCGTAAGGAGTGAGCTGGGGAGGCTGCTGGCTTGCTCACCCTACTCTGGAGGAGATCTGGGGTCTGTGTAGAGCAGATACCATCTTTTACCAGGGAACTACTCCCATGGTTGGCCTTTCCTCTGGTATTCTGAGATACACAGTCCACGTCTTACAACTGCCAGTACGTGGCTCACATTTGGGAGGGTTCTCCACCCTCAAGTTTGATTGCATCTGCTCTTCACAACGTTAAATGCCAGCATTATTGCCTTTCCTCTGTTATTATTTTAGTGTTCCCAAAAAAGACAACCAGGAATGTAGAAGTGCAAGGCTGTGAGAGGAGCACAGAACAGGTAAGGAGCACTTATCTGTAACAACAGACAATAGGAGGAAAAAGCACATTGTTTCACTCATGTGAAGGTCTCAATTTTCTGCTGTTTGAATTGCATTTACTTTTCTAAAGCCCTTCTTCACCACAGTGTCTACCTTTCTACCTCAACATTATCTTCCCTTCCTCTGGTCTGCATTGTGCTACTCGCTCAAATCCCATCTTTACAAGGGAAACCTAGCAAATTTAGAGCATACACATAGAACTTCCCTTAATTCTGTTATCTCCACAACTTTATATCAGACAACTTCTGTGTTGGGGGTCTGTCTGCTCAGCACTCACGATGTGCTTTCTGGGGGAATGACTATCTCCACCTAATCAGTAACAAGAGATACCTATGTACTTGACAGCGATGACACATTATACATCTGCAACATCTTCTTTCCACTCACAGATCCCACAGGGTACAATGGAAAAACAGAGGTAAGGAAGACCTTTGTCAGTCTTTTTTATTTTTCCAGTGGGGAAATAGATCCATGGAGCAAAATGAAGTGACCAAGAGAAAGCAGCACAAGCAGCAGGGAGTAGGGTTTAGAGTGCCTTGCTGTATCAACCAAACTGCGTTTTTCCTTCCCTTTCAGGGTTTGTTTTTTTTTTTCCACACCTCTTTACATTCCTCTAGAAAACAGCACAAGGTTGATCAATATACTCAGTGCCTCCCTCTTCCCTTGGCACCGGGGCAGCCACGTGTTTCACCTTATGGTGAGGTTCTCCAGCAACTTCAACATCTACCAGGGCTGTGAATCACTCTGGTGGTGTTCTCTTCAAAGGACCATTTTTCAGAGAGGGCGAAACGACGATCAGGCTGACAGTCGCTCACACAAAATGCCTTGTCTTCTCTGCTGGATCTCTTGCTGTGAACACCACGTTCATGTCAGCCGTGTGGAGGGAGGAATTTTTCCTATCACTTATTTAGCACCCGCTCCCATCTCTCTTGTCTTACTGACTTAGATTTGTCTTACCGATCATGCTTACACTCCGGTACGGAGTAGGGATATGAATGTTAGCTTGAAATGAATTAGCTAAACCATCTCTTTACTTCACTAAAATCTGTCCTGTAAACAGAAACTGCGGGCTCTTGAGGGAGTGACTATTTACAGCCTTGTTTTTACATTTTTTAGTACAACAGGGCCAAAGCAGGGAGGCTCTGGATGCCACCGTAGTGAAGATAACTCTCGCCGTGACCCAGAGGGAGAAGCAAGGCCAGACTCAGAGGTGAGCAGTTCATAACGGGTAAAGAGAAGTTTAAATTTCTGAATTATAAAGTTGTAAAAAAGATTCAAAGGGAAGTAAGGGCATCCTCAGCCCACTCTTTGATAGTACAATACATAAAAACCAGATTTTGTAGGAGTATAATAAAAGATTGTATAGGAGTATAATAAAACCCAGACACAAGTCTGAAAAATTCATTAGTTTCTGCCATGACTAAAATAAGCACTGTCTATGAAAACTACTTTGCAATGGTAATGAAAAGCAAGTGGAAAAGCAAGTGTTAGCACCAGTGCTGCGATGTGAAATAATTTCTGTATACTCAGATCCATCATTGTGAACAATGTTGTTGATTATAAACCACATCAAATTCCCAGTCCCCCAAAACATGTATTTTATTTTGCAGTTTTTCTAGTAATTATGAAATCAACATAACGCTATCAAGTTTTACCACAATTAAGCTAAATATATACTTAAATGATATAATGTACTTTGTAATTGTAATATCTCTGTAACAGTAACTTACTTCCTAGGAACAATTGGCAACGTTTCTCCAACATTTTTTAGGGGTGGTGTCTAATGATAATGACAATACTCATCTCTCTCTGAATTTTGTAATTTAAAAGGTACTTGCATACAATTTAGAATCAAGTTTTGACCTGCAGAGCTTCATTTCTTGTAAGTTGATAAGAGGAGTCTCCTAGATTTGAATGGATTTTATGGCCCCTTCAGCGTAGCTGGGTTTGATGGAAGAGATGATGACACAAGACTTACGGCCACGTAAGCAGTTCTCCGAAAACAGGTCTATATCTAGTCACTTGTGAGACAGTGTTCACTTGTAAAGCTATTACCATGTCATTGTGCTGAAGACCTTTGGGCTTCAGGAAATCAAAATGTCTGTCAGTCCCCCAGTGAGAGATGGGCCAGATGGTATTTTGCTCCAAGCAATTGCCACTTGCTCAGGGCAGAAGATCTGGGCAGTCTGTCAGTCCCCCAGTGAGAGATGGGCCAGACTGTATTTTGGTCCAAGCAATTGCCACTTGCTCAGAGCAGAAAGTCTGGGCAGTGGTGTCCGTGGTGGGCCTGGGTGGCAGGAGTTTTATTCCATAGCAATTATTATTTTGTCAGATGCATACATAGCTCAAGAGATGGCTCAGGGTGGGCCTGGGTGGCAGGAGTTTTATTCCAGTAGAAATTTTTATTTTTTCGGATGCATACATAGCTCAAGAGACGGCTCATTGTTCTCCACCAAACTGGGGATGTCTCTACTTTGGCAGTTTTGTCTTCCTGCAGCCGGAGAGCTGATCAGTCACTGCTGTTCCAGTCCCCAGAATAGAGCATGTACTCCAAATTTGTGTTTACAGATACCAAAATAAAAACCCTAACTCAGTTTGCAAGAAAAGGTAAGGCAAGCCCATTTGTACTTGTACCATTTGCTTATTTATTTATACATATTTGTTCAGAAAGATAAAAAACAGACAGGAGCCTACACTTTACCGTAGAATACTAGGCAGCCAGTGACACAAGAATAGACTCAAGAACAGCAAGTGGCCACTAATGTAATGATAAAATTGATTCACAAATCATTTATTGTCTAGAACACCTGCCATCAAGTGTTTGCATTCCTTTACTGTCCAATATTAAATTGGATAAACCTTTGCTGTACAATAAATTATATACAGATGCGTAATTTTAAACAACGAACACGTGTAGATTGGTTAAACTTTTCCATACTGCTGTGAGTTGGCTGTCAGTGGGCAGTGGGAGCTTCCCACCAGTTTCATTCGGGCTGTTGAAAATCTCATCCTTCAGTGGTCATTTGCAGATAGATCTAATGCTTCTCACCTGGTTTTGAATATCCTGTTTCATTTCCATTTCACCTTGCTTGCTCTGTACAATACCACTTGTCTGAGAGGTAATTTTCTGTCTAATGGAATACTAACTTTTAAATAATTTCATTCAAAAATTGACTTTTTTTTTCTTTTTCAGGTCAGTGAAAGGCAAAGATCAGACAAAGGAATGACAGATCACATCTATTGCAATACTCTTTGACAAACTAGTTAGAAATTATGATTAGTATTGCATAAAGAAACTACTGTGACCATATTATAAATGGTATTCCTTTACTGAAATAGAATTGACAAGTAGATTAATTTATATAAAAGAATATGTAGTTTTTAAAGTTTCTATCCTTATGAATGTAATGAAACAGATTTTTTTTAATGTTACATAATATGCAAGTGATATATTTTGGAACATGTGATAACATGCTCAAACTCTTTCTAGACTATAAAACTCTCACCAGAACTTTAAAAGCAGATCTTTCAGAGCCCTAAATCCATTGGAAAATAAAACTTTGGGAAAAGCGCACTAAAAAAAACCCGCAAGTGTTCCCTCAAAGCCTTTTAAACAAAAGTAGAGAAAAGAAAAAGCATTTAAATCTTTTGCTTTTTTTTTAATGCAGTCTAAAAGAACAACATCCTCCTATCTCCTAGTTTGTGGATAAAGAGAGCATATTTGCCTTTTGCCTCTTCCTGCTAAAATCAGCCAGCGCAGTTATCTGGTGGGTGAAGTCACCTGGGTATATGGTATGGTGAAAATAGCTCCAAGAAATCTTTTGTTTTCTCTTCCCTTTAGAAGACAACGTGTTCCCTGTTCTCAAGATTGTCTTTATGAAACTGTCCATGGGATGACTACGTTAAAGAAGGAGAACTAGCAGGGAGAAAAGGTAATTACAAGAAAAAGTGAATTGCTGGCCAAATGTAGATACACATTTATTATAGTGGATGTGTATTTTTCATTACCTACATAAGATAAAGTTTTCTCAGCTTAACTGCATGAAACCGATTGGTTTTATGTCTGTTGAAAGATTTCTAAATTTTTACACTGGAAGGGTTATTAGGCGTTGGAATGGGCTGCTCAGGGAAGTGGTTGAGGCACCTACCCTGGAGGGGTTTATAAGACGGGCAGATGTGGTGCTGAGGGACATTGTTTAATGATGGTTTTTATCAGAGTTAGGTTGATGGTTGGACTAGATGATCCTAAAGGTCCCTTTTAACCTTGACACAATTCTATGACTCTATGAGGTTCTGATTAGCTTGCTGCCTTCCCTGGGTGACTATTTCTGTTGTACCCTGTGCACGTCCAAGCACTTCTCACTTCATCAAGGGTAGACAGCCTATTTTTTGCCAATTACTGACACACACAGTCAAAGCTGAGGCTCAGTTTTCTGTCTCCACTATTGCAAAACTTCAATGTAAACATAGCCTGGGTTTTAAACCAGCTCGAGCAGCACCGAGTTCAGCACAGGTTAACCTCCTTGGGTTTTTTCAGCTTTCGGAATGAGTTTTGCAGCTTGAACTGTGCTCTGTGCCTCTGAAGACAGACTGCTGCCATTGCCCAATGTGACTGGTTTACATATTGTTTGGCTCCAGCCCCATCGCGCTGCAGACACACTCTGCTGTACAGACACAGTCAAAGAAATGGAAAACTGAGGGTATAAATTTCCCATAATTACGATTAACAGCCTTTCCGAAGACTTAATGACCAATTTTGGTGACTTCCTTTTAAAGACTGGTCTAAAACTAATTTTGTGCTATACTTTCAAAAAAGCCCCACACAGACCCACAGTACAATTCTCTTTCCCATCACCTTAGCTGGCTTTCCATTGTCATGAAATGAGAGCAGCAACCCAGGCCCTATTTCACACTGCTTAATAGACTTGATAGCTAATATCTTTCAAGAAAAAGCTTAACATATTGCATCTTGAGTAGAAACGATTTAGGAAGTCAGAACTTAGGACTTTTAAATCTTTTTCCATTGAACATAATTAAACATTAACCAATTTTGCTAGTGCAACATAATTTTTATAGGCTGCTATAAAGCCTTCATTTCTTTCCCAGGATGTGTGCTAGACACAAAGACTGTGCTTTGCCTTGTGTGAAGAACCCAACCAGTGTAACCTGGGACTGCCCTAGAAAAACCACGTGAGTTTGTGCTGTCCCTCATATGGCAATGTTTCCTCTCATCAACCAAATTGTCTTTACTCTTTTATCAAGTTACTTTACAACAGAGAGTACCCTGTGTAAATAGCAAATAAACAAAGTCAGCCTCTTCCTTCACTGCCCTGCACCACATACAGCTACCATTATATCTGCAAACTTTAAAATCATATCAGCGGGGTAAACAGAAATTTTAGTTGTTGTACCATTTTATAGGCACAGAGACGAGTAGCTGATAATTTCTGGTGAAGTTATTTCCATCTTCTTTGGGAACAGTAAACTAGCTAGGGTGTGTTCAGAAACACTGAGCCCCTCACTCAGGTAGGGGGTTTCTGCCTGTCGTGTTCTGTATTCAGACACTGATTTGGACTGGAAGAGTCTCCACACTGTTTTCTGCTCCTACTTTCTCAGAGCAGGATTTTTCAATCCATGGAGCCACCGTTTAGTCAGAGCAGATCCAACACCAGGGTCTGGATTGCCCCACATGTGTAGATCCCATCTTCTTCACAAGAGTTCTTTAGAAACAGCAAAATGAGAGAAAAATGTGAGGAAAGAGTAGGAACAGTCCAGCTGCTTCAACTTTACTGACAGCTTAAACAAGTGTAAATATTAATAGGAGGGATAAGTCAGCAAAAAATCAACCCTAAGAGCCCTTAGTTGACTTAGTGCTTTTAGACAACTGGGAGAAGTCAGGGAAGGGTAGGTCTTGAAAAATCAAAAGGACGTGATTGGCCCAATGCATTTACATTTAGTGTGACCACCTAACTAAGGGGATTCCTAAAAGTAATTCCACTGCAAACAAATCTGGCAAGGCTGAGGATCCAGCTCCCCAGACTGAACATCAGAATACCGTGAATAATGTCAAGAGGCAGCAATGGGGCTGTCAGATACTGCTACTCTCATTACCCTATTACCACAAATATCCATGAGTTTTACTAGTTTACATAAACTGTCAATAGACATTTTAATCCAAAAGTGCAGAAAACACAACTATTTTACCACACAATCATTGAAGCTAATCTCTTTTTGACAAGGTCATTATTTACACTGCTTCCCTTGTAATCCCCCTCATGCACATACAGAACAAGGCTCTGAAGCTTAATCTTCCCAATGCTGAAAATGAGACTTTTATGCAAACTGATAAAAGTTCTTTGTTTGATTTATCTGTAAACCAAAATAGGCTGGTAGTTTGCCTTGAAGTGAAAAGAAAAAACATATTCTGTCAAATCCTGTGTATTCCTTTTTATGTGTTTTGTCATTTCCCCTCTATTAACTCTGTCCTAAGGTTGAAAAGAAGAGTGCACTCCAGCTTCCATTTACGTACTGTACTTTAGCTTTGACTTTTTTGGTTGCAGCCTGTTAAATTTATTGACTATAAGCCCCTTGAGCTATTGAAGAGTATGCGGCTCACATTGTATATCTTTTGAAAGAAGCTACTGGTAGCCTGTTTTAATGTGTTTACTCTCTCCAGATACAATTTGTCTTACATATTCATTGGGTTTTAGTGCCAGGACCGGTTTCTTCGTTGTAGCTATTGTTTGGAAGTCTTGCACAGATATTAAGGCTTAGTAATTTTTCAGCACTGCTCAAGGGATCTGAGTGTCAAATGAAATAATGAGTGGGAATGTGGGCACTGAAAACCCCTAAGCAGCTGGCTTTGGAGATCTCCAGAAAAAAAAAATAAAGGGAAATAATTTGAGGTGGCGTGAAAGACACTTTGAGAAGTCTAGGATATTTTATATGTACAAATAGAACTGGCCCAAAAGTAGTGCTTTCCATTCATTGACAATTACATTTCGTTTTAATTTCAAGATTTTGTATAGCCTGAAAGTCAAAGAAAATTTCATTTGCGAAACACTAGCACATGGAGCCTGGAAAATGGAATACTTTCCCCTCCACACTGCAGCTGCTTTTTCTACCGTTGGAGCTGACCAGAATACTGATTTCATTAGGCAAGGACTTGAGATGGAAAAGATCTCTTTTCAGGTTAGAGTCAGGACTTTCAGGTGCTCGGTTTCACAGGAGAGAGCCCTAAAGCTTTAAGAGCAAGGGGTGTTTATGTGTGGAGGCTCTGGGATATCTCACAGGACCGTGGCGTTGTGTATCCCATGGTGCTGGCTCTCACTAACATGAATCCTGGTCCTTCCCCATGCCCCGATGCAGAGGTGAGCTTCAGAATATCTTCTGTTCTGCAGCACAGATGGTGGCACGTTGGCTGCTGATGCTAACTTTGGAGCTCACCAGGTCGTTGGCTGCTGATGCTAACTTTGGAGCTCACCAAAATTTTGAGGACACCTACAGCAGCAGAGGTTTAAAAGTACAAAGTACAGAAAGCTGTGGATTGGGAATCCCACTCATGTGCTTTCAGATTTATAGTGCTATAGGTATCCCACCTAGACAGCTTAACAGTTAGCTGGGATATATCTACAGCAGTAGCCAACACGTCAAAAATCTGTTGTGCATCTGTGGCAGAACTTCTGTTCAGATCATCTGCATCCCACTCCAGATGCAATCACTTCTTGTTTGATCCTCGGAGAGAAATCTGCAGTAATGTGTTTTCCTCTCCAGGAAATCCATACCAAAAGTCAAACTCCTTTCTCTCCAGGAAAGCCATGAGAGCAGCCCTGAAAGTCCAGGAATTGAACTCTGCCTCCGGCAAGACACAGGTGAGATCTCTGCACGCTGCAGTCCTTGCTCTGCGCCGTTACCAGCCCGGAGCCAGCCTTCCAGTTATTCTACCCAGATGCTTGTACCTTCAAAAGCTATTTTTTTCTAGGAATGTCTGTGGCCCCAACAAGTAGAGAAAAATTCAGCCAATGTTTCACATGGAAAACACTACTAATTGTACTAATTGAGTGAAAAAAAGCCTGGGGAAGTCATATTGTCCCTACTCCTACTTAGGCTTAGACCCTTTGTGGTCCCAGCATTAACATGGAGGTGATGTTTCCTTCCAGGCAAACCAGGAGAGGCTAAAAGATTTCCATGTCATTGGAAATAGCACCTTTACAGGCAGAGAAGTTGCAACTGTTAATGAAATAAATGTGGTTTAAGTTACATTTACACTATATAGTGAGTATGTGTTATGGAAGAGGGGTATATTTTTGGCTCATAGTGCACATGTCAAACAAATTTCTGAATCTTTATAGCCCTCGCCGCCATAATTAGCTTAAGTGAAGCTGTATTTAGCTTGCATATAGCTTCAATTTGCTGCAAAGTAAATCACCAAAGAAATCAATAATTTACAACCTAGCAAACAGTGCAGACTTTTCCAAAAGACAAATAAAAAACAAACAGCACCTTTTGGCTCATAGTGCACATGTCAAACAAATACAATTATCTATTTCTGAATCTTTATAGCCCTCGCCACCATAATTAGCTTAAGTGAAGCTGTATTTAGCTTGCATATAGCTTCAATTTGCTGCAAAGTAAATCACCAAAGAAATCAATAATTTACAACCTAGCAAACAGTGCAGTCTTTTCCAAAAGACAAATAAAAAACAAAAAGCACCCAACCCATTATGCCTGGGCATTTCTGAATGCAGCTCCTTGCCTGGCTTCTCTGAGTTAAATGTGACATTTTCCAACACCAGACATTTTCATTTGAGCAAGGAGGAAACATGTAAAACCAAACAAATAATGACACGAAATGAAGCTTTGATTAGGAGTCTGTGAATAATGATCCTTTTCACATATTCAGTGGCTGGGATGTTTAACATGCTTTACATTTTGAATGCATCAAGCGGGTCCCGACGATTAGATTTTGGTATTGAGAGAAAGACACTTTATTAGAGAGGGAGCTTGTCGGGGCTTGGTGCCAATCGGCTGCAAGTAGTTCTGTTGCAAACACATCCAACACCCTCATTTGGAGGAGTGCAAGAGGGAACATGTTTCATATTTTCCTCTTTCCTGCTCTGTTCTCCTACAAATTCGTAAGTGGCAAGTGCTAGCTCTCTCTCAGTTCCTACAGTAATAAAAAAAAAAATCCCCCCAAAATTTTCCATGGCATGAGTAAATCACAGGTTTACATTGTTGAAAATTTCTATTAGGTTTGGATGTTTTTGTACATGTTATTACTATGAAGACTGTATTAATTGGCTGCATTTCTGAAGTGGTGGTAGGGATTATTCAGTGAATTCAAAAGGTGGAAAAAGATAACTTTTGTATATGTTAAATTAGTTTGGTTTTTTTTATTGTCAGGAGTGTAACAGGGACCCAAAGCAAAGCAAAAGACTAAAACCTGGGGATATTTTGAATAACGAGAACATCTGCAGGTGAATTATTTAGAATTAATTTGGGGGCCAGGGGCTGTTAATCCCAATTTCAGAAAGGGATAAAACTCCCTCATGTTTCATAGCATGAGCCAAGTATTTTCCTGATGGATATTGGAAAGGCATTTTAACTATAGCCATTTAATTCCCCATTTTTCATGCAGATTTTGATTCCTCCCCTAGAAGATCTGGTTCTGGTTAGCAATGAAGATTGCAAGAGATGAACGACTACCCTGGTATGTCCCTTCCTCTGTAGGAAGGATATTTTAATGGCTTCTGCATATTACCCTCAGCATATTTGCTGCAAACAACTATTTAGCCTATGTCTGGGATACTACTATGCTTATCCTGAAGTCACATGTGGTATTACAGCAATTACTGTGGTTTTAGTATGTATTTTACAGTATATCAATGTAAAAATATATTGATATGTACTTGTATATAAGTACTGAAAAGGTATCCTTTAGAATATGACACATGGGGTAATTAATTGTTTTATGTACTAAATGTTTACATGCAGAAAAATGGTAGCTGCATATAACCTCTCTATGTCTGAAGTAGGAATAAGCTATATCAGAAGCTGAATATTCTACTCTCAGTTTAAAATTGCACTTTTTATTTCTGTAGCTGGAGATGCTCGTATTCCATTCAGTAGAGAGGCTTGCTTGTTTCTCAACGCTTCAGAAAAGAAACGACTATTGTGTTTGGTTTGGAATGAATGAATATAATCTCAAATCTTTTGTTTGCTTTGCTGTGAGATGTGCCATTTTCTCAAATGAAAGCCCGGTGTATTTGCAGAGCAGGCAGCAGAGGTAAGTGTGATTACCTCACCTGTTCTTTGTACCAAACATAGAGGGAGGCGAATTAGAACTCATCAGTGGGAGGGGTTTTGTTTTCTTCCCCAAACAAACCATCAAAGAATCCCAGAGCACGGTTTAAAGTATTCAGACTGCAAATAGACTGGATTTTGCCTGCCTGTTTCCAGTAAATACTTGTGTATTACTTATAGTGAGATTCTTTCAGCAGAGATGTTGGGAAGCGTAAACATCCATGTAGAAGATAATGCTCAGTAACCAGTATCTCAAGCCTTTCACACAGCAGAAAGCTTTACTGAGAAGGACTGAAAAAATAGCTGGGTTGACAAAAGCCCAGGTATAGATACAATTATACAGGCAAAAGAGTCTACTTGATGTTACATTTTCTTTCCGTTAAGAGATCTATAATAAGATGCATTTGCCTATCTAGCTGCTTTCCGTGCCACGTTTGCAATGTGTGTCAGTGCAGCTCTACCTGCAGACCAAGCATTTTAAGTACAAACAAGGTGAAAGATGGCTAATTAATTATACTGCATGTCTCGGAGCATTAATTTTCGGTGTTCCTTATCACTCCTGGGATGGAGGTTACTGATAGTGAAAGGTTTCGTTCCTGATTCTGCACTTTTAGTTCCGTACGTGACACGAAGCCAGGTCATTGATGCCAGTTTGATTATACCAGCTAAAGACAAGCAGAGCAATGAGAGCTTGAAGAAAATGTGAGGAAATAGAGGGAGCCACCTTGGTGCCTCAATTCCCTGAGGGGCATTGCCTGCACGGGAGGAGACACAGCAGACAGTCGTTCCTGGTTTCTGCTGACCATTACCGTCAGCTTGATACTTTCCAGAGTTTTATGCCAGAAATCCATTTCCCGGAAAAAAATTGGGGCAGCTCTAATTAAAAAGTGATAGCTTAACTATCCCCAAGACCCTGTTTTCAACTGCAGAAGCATTATGTTGCTGATGGAAATAGGCGCTATTGTCCGCCACAGTTCACTGAAACGCTCATTTCCAGGGGAAACACATTGTTTCAGACAAAACTTTTGCCAGAAAACATTGCTCTCCTTTAGAATACGGTGTAAGGGGTGAGAAAGAGAGACAGGGATGTGAAAATAAAGAACTCAGTGGCCAGGGCTGCTCTTCTAGGGAGTCAAGAACTGGTTCAAGTCTTCGGTGTGACTTGAACATTGCAGGGGTGCGAGTCCCATGTTCCCAGGTTCTTGGCTATTTTAGGATGGGTAACACCACACTCTCCCTTTTATTGTTTGTTCGTTCGTGTTTTTTTCTTATTTTGAGAGTTATTGGCCACTTCCTGATACAAGGCAGGAGTATTTAGAATCTTTAATAACCGTTGTTGGCAGGAAACTCTGCTGTCTCACAGTAGCAAATTCACTCGTGTTTTATTGGAAATCTGCCTATTGTCTGTGCCTCTTCCATACTGTAATGGGCATTTCGGTGTGACACACAACAAAATTCGTTACTACTTTTTGCAACTGCTTCAAGCTGGAAGCACCTGTTTGACACATGTTTGTGTGGAATTAGCTGAATTGTGCAGCAGAGAGGTTTTATGTTTGCACTCAGCCTGGCAGGGAAGGTAAAGTTTATCACCACCATAGGATGCGGGGAGGAGTGGTCACTCCTCTGAGCTGCCTCTGTAGCTCTACTGATGGTGTTTGGTGAAGCAAATCTGCTGCAAATTACAGCGTGTGGTTATAGATCAATTTGTGCTCCTGCCTGCTGCCAACAACGTGCTGTGCACCAATGGAGCTAACTTGGTAAACATGCACTCTAGTAACAGAAAATAACCAAGTGGTGTTGAAAGGAATAATTAATTAATGTTTGTAAAGCACTTAGAAGCTGAAAAGCACCTTATTAGTGCTAAGTGTTCACAGGCCTAGCTTTCTCATCAGAAGTTAAAGTTGTCGTCTTTGTTAGTCTTTAACTGAACAAAACATTAAGGGTAAAAAGCCTTTGTATCTAATGTCCTCGGTCAGGTGGTTCCGTGCCTGGCAGTCATTAAGATGCAGTAAGTAAACAAGAAGAAACTATAAACGGCATGAATCAGCTCATTTCCACTGATGCCAGCAGAATCGAGTTGATTTACATTAGCTGAAGATCAACAACAGACAATCCAAAGCATAGCTCTTCTTCTTGACGACCGGGGCTCAGTCAGAGCCGGGGACTGGTTTATTCACTGCAGCTCCCACTATTTGGAGCCCAGCTGCCAGGAAGGAATACAAAACTGTATTAGGGCACAGGCCTCCCTGTGCAGCCAGGCGGATAAATTGGATGGCTCAGATTTGCTATCTGGGGCAGCCAGCACGCTAAATGAACAGCCTCTTGGTGCTAGAGAGCAGGAATCCTATTTATCAGGTGTGCTACGCGGGGCTGAAGGGTGACACCTGTGTCTGACCCCGGTTGGAGAGCTCAGAACATGGAGAATAAGCATCTGTGGCTTTAGTTTCAAAGAGCCTTGGCTCCCTCAAAAAAAAAACAAACAACCACAACACAACAACAAACCCAAGTCTTCATGATGCAGGGGTCACACTTCACTGATGCTGAAGTGTGGATTTACTTAGGAGGCTAAAAGAGCTATGAGCCACCTAGAAGAGGACCATCAGGGGAGACATGAATGATCCCAGCTATGTAATACAGCCACTCAGCCCCGGCCAGCCCTCCACTCTCAACACCACCGTGTGTGGCATTGAACCCTCTCTGCAGTCATCTAAAGGCTGATCTGCTCCTCTGGGTAATTTGCAGGCCACAGTCAATATCCTTATCTGCCTAAGAGGGTGTTAATCCACATATCACTCTCTCTAAATACTACCTAAATCTTGGATGTTGTGGGAGCAGGAGAAGGAGGGGAGACAACAGGGCACTGCAGAAAAGACTAATTGGCCAGAGAGCACAGAAAAAGCCATTGATTGCACTGGCCTGTCCACCAGAGCACACACTTTTAAGATTATCAGATGCCTTTACCAGACAAGTCTCCTTTCTTCAGCCAGAAATTTTATCAGATAAATTTGATGATGTTGGGCATCTGTTCCATATTTATGAGTGTCAGCACCTCAGTAGCTCACGCTGACCTTCCAGATTAATCAAAACCCTGATGATGTGCCCATACGGTGCACAAGCAGTATGCCCAAGTATACAACCCATGTAGTCACTGGCAGTAGGTCTGGGAGAGTGAATCTGGTCTTTGATCTCTTTGGTGTTTCTTCTCACAGCAGATCAGTGGCTTTATTTTTCTGCTGGATTAATTGGCAGAATAAGAAAGGTTACCTGCCAAGCAAATCCAATTATTCCGCCCTTGCTGGTCTTGAATTAAGCTCCATGGTTGACAAAGGGTCACAGTTAGAAAGAATTAAAATAAGCCATCAGGACACCAGATATTCTGGTTTTTCAATCCCTGCACCAGCCTAGGGCAGAGTATGTTTGGCTCCCTTCAGTTGTAGTGCTGGAACACAGTGGGCCAGAATACCTCTTCATAACAATTTTGGAAGAGCTAAGTGTTACTAAGATTGGCTAATAGTTATCTTTGTAATTAGCCATCTGTTATAGATGCATTTATTGAATCTGAGAGGGGCCAGAACCCTTGCATGTCCTCCTTGCTCTTAGCTTTGCTTGAGTTCACCAGGGTGAGCTTTGTGCAAAATCCATAAAGAACAAAAAAATGTGCTTCTTTGAAAGAGCAATTCTTTTTTTAAAAAAGCGGTTGCACCATAAATGGCAATTATCATAACAATTTGTCTTTTCTTGACTTCATCAAGAGCACAGGCTTTGGAGCACTTAAGAATGTATTTGGAGGTTGGAGTAGGAAACTGAGGTATCTCAAAGGTCCAGGCAAGACTCTGTGGAGCTTCTCACTTGAGACACAGAACTGGTAGCACTCGCTTATAGACCTACTGCACCTGATGATCCAATGTTGTCTGTATATACCTTGTAAAGGTCATCAAAACTCATACCTGAGACTTTTCAAGTCAATCAGAGGAAGACTGAGCTTAAGAAATGGGACAGCTAAACTGTGGTTACTTTCTACTCCATCATTATTTGAATGCCTATCAGAAGCAACTGAAAGAATGCCTGAAAGAAGTAGACACGTGTTTAAATTGTGCTAGATTACTAAATGTTGGAATAATAGCCTCCCCTAATCCTATTCCTAGGCAAACACAAACATTTTCATCCTAGCCTTTAATCTCTTGTCCTCTCAATTTAACGTATATTAAAGACTTTGATATATACACGTGCAAACATACACGTTATTTTATCTTATTAGGATTTCAGTCTCGTCTGTGATCTCATGAATAATTTTAATGATCTGTGTACAGCCTGTCCCACGTGTCCATAGCTATAGGAGGGAAAAGTCCATGTCAAATAGATACCCTGTGTCTATTGTCAGCAAAATTAACCAGGCTAAGAAATTTAAGATAGCCAAAGGCTTTGTTACCATAGGTTTCTGAATCCAGAGGCCAGAGCTGAAGTGATTTGGGTGAAATACTCAAAGAATCCAGCACAGGTAAGTGACCCAACAGAAAGTTCCACAGGTGTCAAGGCAGAAGGTGAATGTATGGTAATTAATTCTTTCTCCTAGAATATATATCGCTAATTGACTTGGCGGCAGTATCATTACCATGATTCATAGGCTCATAGATTTTAGGCCAGAAGCAACCATTATGATAATCTAGTCCTACTGTCTGCATAGCAAAGACCACAGAACCTCACCCAGTGGTTGCTGCATCAGCCCTCTAATTTCTGCTTGAATTACTGTGGTTTTTTCTAAAAGCCATCTGATGCTTATTAAAAGACTATGATGTGATAGAAAATCTACCAGGTGCTTGGGTAAGTAGTTCTAAAGGTAATTTTTCCTTTGAAAATTGCAACTTATTTTTGGTATCATATTTACATTGATATTTCCATAGGATTTTTTTTTTTTTGGTCTAAATGTATCCCAGAAACATTAAGAAAACTCTTAGATAAAAAATTCTTTTCTTTTTCCTTTTTTTCCTCATGTTAAAGGTATGTAAAGAGTTTATGGTAATCTCCCTACTGTATTAGTAATATCTTTAATGTATCATTGGAGCTTTGTCTCCTTTTTCCCTTCTATCCTCCCTCTCACTTTTCTCCTTGTGTCCCCCACCAAAAAAAGAAGAAAAAAAGAAAAAAAGAAAAAAAAAAGAGAGCAAATTTAAAAAGGGGAGAGGTGGCAGACAAAATTCACAATTAAACTGAGGAATTTTAAAATATGCAGAATGTTCAGGGACACATCCAATGGTAGGCAGATACTGACATTCCTGCGGTCCTGAACAAAATGTGCAAAGATTTTTTTGTTTTATGACCCCACCTGTTTCCCTCCAACACAGCTCTCTCCTCCTCTTGTTCCCTAATGTTCCCCCTGAGCCCAATTTACCTGATTTGTAGAACATGTGAGGATTGCTTAGGTAGATCATATCAATGACAACGCAGTGACATAAACAACTAGACAAGGTGTCACACGGCTTTTTTGGAAGGGTAGTACTTGCCTTTTTTACAGGCAATATTTCAACAAGTCACCAGTGCTACAGGAGCTGTGTCCCCTCCTCACTCCATAACCAACATCGGAGACAATCACTTACCATTCTCCACTCCTCTGAGCATAGTTTTATCCCACAGAATAATTTCATTGATTTAAACAGGACCTAATAAGCCAAAACCTGATACACCTTTTGGCATTGATCAAATCCTTACCCTGTGAAGGTAGTGTCAAAACATCCATTGATTGCACCTGAATAAACATTTTGCTGTCTGTGAAATTCCTATAAATTATTATGATACATTTATAGCACTTATAACAAAAGTTCGTCTAAACACGAGGCTTTTGAAGTTAATCCAAGGTAGACTCAGTGCATGAAATGAAGCAGTTCAGCTCTCAAGTATAGCTATGATACAGGGATCCAGGTGAGCCCAGTAGTCATAACGATGTTATTTCCTCGTTATCTCATGATCATGATCACCTATCTGTCTAATCTGTGAATAAAGTACTAACTGCCATCCACTTTCAGGAGCTGAGAAAAAGCACGTCGAGTTCCCAGAGGTACAAGTGGACTTGTTTGTATTTATGGGTAAATCAACAACAAGCTGATGTGATTAAACAGTGACTCCATCAGTGACTTGGCCCTGTTCTTTTCTCCATCTGGTAGGTAAGCAGGCAGATTAAATTTATGCCATGTGTTTATTTTTCCTGTAACAAAATGACTTGCGTTTATATTTCTAGTCACTATGAGGTGGTAACAACCTTACAAAATATATTGATTCACGTTAAAAAATGAGGAGTTAGCAGGAACACAATGACATGCCACCCAACGCACAATGTTTTATTTAAAAGAAATGGCAGCACACCATATTTTTTATTAAAAAAAATCTCAATTACAGACCTTAAAGAAAATTAAATTTATAGTTGAGCTCAGAGTTTTGAAGCTACCAGTTGTTTCCTGGAAGTGACTTTGAAATGAGTTTTGGGAAATCATTTTAGTATTGACTTGGGCCATAATGGTTGGCTGTTGCTTTTTTGTGTAAGATTGATTAAATTACTCTGAACGAGCTCCAAGTCCATGTCCTTCTCTGAGCCCAATTGTGAATATGACCATAATACACTCTCTAAAAAATATTTCAGAAAGTAAATAATCTCTAAACCTGGAAGCATGTCATTGCGTTCTTACAAGAATAAGCAAATGAATTTGGTTCCTTGTCTCAACATACATCCCTTCTTCCTTTTATACCACATGCTTTCTCTGGTTTTAAAAGACTAGGGTTATTTTCTTCTATACATTACAATACGAGATAATTTTGACTAAGAAAGGAGTAGCTAAGAAATAAGTGTATTAGCAGTAATAAGAATTGGCAATTGTACTCCTGATTTCAGCCTTTATCTGCCTTTCTGAAATGTAGGACCCCTCTAGTTATTTCTTCATACTTCAGTAAACTTAAGTGAAATTAGGGCCACTTTATAGTAGGCTCTATACAAGCACATGGGAATGAATGCTCTAAATCTAAAAAAAAAGCTTTGAAAATAAATGCCAAATATGCAGAATCCCTAAACAGAGAAGTAAAAGGACTTATTCACAGCTGCTGAATGTGCCTGGGATGGAGAAAGAAATAGGACCCTGGTCTTGAGAAGTAAAAGGACTTATTCACAGCTGCTGAATGTGCCTGGGATGGAGACAGAAATAGAACCCTGGTCTTGAGACCCATGCCAGTGTCCCATCCAGTGAGCTCTGCTGCTTCTTGGTTGCCTGAGTTGAGACAGCTCCCGAACCCCTGGCTGGTCTGAGTTTTTAAAGAAAGTATGGTATGTACTTTAAAAGGCAAAATTAAAAGCCAGTAAGATATATCTCTGGAATGCCACCAAGAGGTGACTGGTGAATATGTCCCACAAAATCAGAAGCAAGGCAGACAGCAGGAAATGGTGAAAAAATAGAAGTAAGAGAAAGAAAACAGTCGAGGCTTTGGGGAGGAATTTAGCATTTACAGCTGCATAGAAAGTGTCTTGAATACTGGCATGCACTCTGCATTCATGATACAGAGAAAAACCAACAGTTTTGGGAGTACAACCTTCCAAAGGACAGCCTGCTGCACTTCCCCAGTCTCCTGAGTTCTCCTCTGAGGTGGAGGAGGTGAGTTGGGGAGCAAAACTCCCCTAATAAAATCTTATTAAATAAGGGTAAGGATTGCCAGGGATCATGGCCCTGTGATACTCTTGGGAAGGATTTCAATTTCCTTGGCATTAGTTTTCATGCCAGGAGGTCCTGCACTGAGTTTTTAGGCCGTAAGATCTGGGGAAGTCTTGGTTGACAGGCAGATGAGGTTGGCTTGCAAAGGGTGTGATTTTTGGTTCTTCCTGTTTTTAAGTGTCTTTAACTCCTGCTGACAAGAGTAATCCAGCTCCTCAGAGGTCTTAAGTAATCAGCAATCCTGCAGGGTAGAGGTTAAACTAGCACTGGAAGAGTGGGTAGCTGCAACATTCCGTCATTATTTCCATGAACTCTCTCTATCCGGTCCTTTGTTGTTCAAGGCAAAAATATTTGGGTACCAGCTCCTGGAGGGAACTGCCAAAATGCTCCTCCATTGCTTGCTCTACAGGTGGTCTTCTTTAGATCTTTAGCTTCGAAAGAAAACTAGTTTGCTTTTTGAATTGTTCAAAGCATGAGGGATGATTTAGTTGAGTGAATGTGGAAAGACACGGCAGCCTGTGTCAGATTTTTCTTGTTGATATTTATTTATTTATTTATGCTGAGTTTCTACCTTGGGTAGGGAGAAAAAAAAATCTTATAATTCACTGCCTTTAATTTGAACTATAATAGACCTTTTTCTTTTTCTTTTTCTTTTTTTTTTTTTTTTTTCCCCTCTGCTTTCTGGTTTATTTGAGCTTCAGAAAAGACAAGAAATTTTCTCCTGGACATATGGCACTGAAGCTCCAGTTAACCAAGGGAAAGAAGATAAACACCATGCAAACATTGGGCCAAGCACCACCATATAGGTTAAGGTAAGTCTAGACTTAGTTCTGACTTAGACTCATTAACAAGACCAAATGACATATTTTCTATAGGATAGGTTGGAGATGAGACAAGGTTGTTAGGTCTTGCTCAAAACCTACTGCCAGGAGAAACTTGACCAACACAGTGAGGCTTCCAAGGCGTAGTTACATTGCTCCCCAAACTGGTTTTGGAGAGAAGGGGGTTTCTTTTTGCAAAAAAAATATTAAAATATTATTGTGTTTTTGTTAAAAATACCTGCTTTGCTTTCTAAAATCTATCTTGCCCACAAATATTGCTGTGAAGAAACCCCTGTATTATGGTCAGGTCTATGCTATAGTGATCCAGATAGGAAAGACAGATGCTTTAATGACATTTTTTAGATTTTTGTTGTTGTTACTGAGGAGCCATATAAATAGAGACAGTACAACACAGAGCATCCTTTGCTCAGAGCTTGTGCCTGCCATGGGAGATCACCTGGCTCCGTGACTGTGGATAGACAACAGAAAAGCAAAATGAATAGAAAGAAAAGGAGGAAAGAGGATAAATGCAGACAAGAAATGCTCAGGAGAGGTACTGCTAGTTCTTTAAGGGATTTCTAGTTCTTTAAGGGATTTCCAGCACACAGTCTGTAGAAAATTGTTATCCGCAGTCAAACTGGGCTGAAACTCTTTTCAGGAGCTGTCACCACTAACCCGTAAGCAGCTGGCACCAGCAGCAATCTCCAGGCTGCACCAGAAACTGGGATCAGACACTCAACTAACACCCTAACCTTTAGTTTGAGGAAGGACCTAGAGAAGGCACCTTTAATGCTCAGGAGAGGTACTGCTAGTTCTTTAAGGGATTTCTAGTTCTTTAAGGGATTTCCAGCACACAGTCTGTAGAAAATTGTTATCCGCAGTCAAACTGGGCTGAAACTCTTTTCAGGAGCTGTCACCACTAACCCGTAAGCAGCTGGCACCAGCAGCAATCTCCAGGCTGCACCAGAAACTGGGATCAGACACTCAACTAACACCCTAACCTTTAGTTTGAGGAAGGACCTAGAAAAGGCACCTTTAATATCACTGAGTCCAACCATCAACCTAACACTGCCAAATCCACTGCTAAACCATGTCCCTCAGCACCACATACACCGTTTTTTTAAATACCTCCAGGGATGGTCATTCAACCACTTCCCTGGGCAGCCTGGTCCAATACTTGATAACACTTTTAGTGAAGAAATTTTTCCTAATATCCATCCTAGACCTCCCCTGGTGCAACTTAAGGCCATCTCCTCTTGTTCTATCACTTATTTGGGAGAAGAGACTGATCCCCACCTCACTAAACCCTCCAGTCACTTGTAGAGAGCAAGAAGGTCTCCCTTCAGCCCCCTTTTCTCCAGGCTGAACACCCTGAGCTCCTTCAGCTGCTCCTCACAAGACTTGTTCTCCAGACTCCTCACTAGCTTTGTTGGACTTCTCTGGATCCTCTTCAGCTAAGACTTGTTCTCCAGACCCCTCACTAGCTTTGTTGGACTTCTCTGGACCCACTTCAGCTCCTCAATGTCTTTCTTGCAGTGAGGGCCCAAAACTGAACACAGCATTTGAAGTAATCAATATGTTCAGAGACATCAACATGTGCAGCATAAATACTGCTTGGACATCTCTCTTGGTGCAAGAAGCATATAAATGGGGCCCAAAACTGAACACAGCATTTGAGGTAATCAGCATGTTCAGAGACATCAACACATGCAACATAAATACTGCTTGGACATCTCTCCTGGTGCAAGAAGCATATAAACGATAGTGGTTTAATTTCTGGTTCAGCTATAGCATATTCTTGGGCAGAAAAAGCAAACAAGTGTATTTCAGATGGCAGCTGTGAATGTATCCTATGCTTTTATTCTCCTTTGCCATGTAGTCATTAATTCTTTGACCTTTCCCCACAACATCCTATTATTTTACTTCCCTAGGCAAAAATCTGTGATCCTAACCCAAGTGACAACCTGGCATTCTCTTTCCTCTTCAGAATGTTCCTTTTTCCAGACAATTGCTTCCCAACTTTACTTTTTTGGGTTTTTTACTCAAAACCAAGATGCCACTCAGGGTTGCAGCTCAGCAAAACCAAGGTTGCAAAGAATACTCATTTCACATTCAGCTGATGTGTTTGAAAAGATTAATTAACAGGGACCATGAAGCTGCTCAGCCCAAACAGCCACTGTATAAACCACTGAGACATCCGAGAGAAGTTTTTCTAACACTCTACCAAAAGCGAGGGATATTTCCAAATCAAGATGCCACTCAGGGTTGCAGCTCAGCAAAACCAAGGTTGCAAAGAATACTCATTTCACATTCAGCTGATGTGTTTGAAAAGATTAATTAACAGGGACCATGAAGTTGCTCAGCCCAAACAGCCACTGTATAAACCACTGAGACATTCAAGAGAGGTTTTTCGAACACTCTACCAAAAGCTAGGGATATTTCCAAACGAATAGCAGTTCCGTTGTCAGCCTCATAGTTTTTCATTAAAACCAAAATACCTAAATGTTATCAGTATCATTTGAATGCGTTCTGCCTTAGCACTGGTTATGACAACCACTATAACAGATCTGTGCTTAAGGTTTTGGTCCCAAATCCACGTTAAGTAGAGCCCACAGGAATTATGTTCTTTAATTTGCTTAGATCTAAAGATGGTTACTAATTTCATTTCCACCGCTGAGGGTACAGGCTTTCCGGTCTTTAGTCGATGCCACTATTAAATATACAAATCAGACATTTTTGAAAAATGAAGAAAAAAAACCAACAAGCCACCCTTTAATGTTGGTTCAAACTGTTTTGTTTTTTTTTAAATCTAGTACAGACTGTCTGGCTTTATTAACTGTGACTGCAAATGCCTTAAAATATGTCAGCAGAGTTACTTTGTTATTGCAGTTAACAGCATTACATGGGATTCAGCATCTAAATGTCTCAGCTGATATTGTGTGTCAGAAGTGTGGGAAAGAATGGCTGGAGAGAATTGTGTGGAGCTTATCGTTGTAGGAGGGTGGATGCAGTCATAATTCTTGCGTCTTGTCCTTAGCAGTAATGAGAGAGGTTTTGTAGGCTGAGCGGTGAAAAAGAAAGAAGAATAGGCTTTGTTTGACTATTATGGCAAGTGTCAAACCTGGTGAATAATGTAGATAATTTTTTGGACATTTGAAGTGGAGAATAATGTATGGTTAATGTCAGTTCCACTCTGTAGCTTCCTTGTTGCTCTGTAGAAGTGCCGTGGAGTTTTTCAAAAGTAAAAAATGGCACAGAACTATGTCTTGAGCAAGGTCTGCATTACAGCTTTTAATCTTGCATTTGTTGCTGTTTGTTTTTAAAAGCCATTTTACCTACCTTCTAAGCAAAATAAACACATTGCAATCTTCAGTGTTTTGGAGTAAGTCTGTCCTCGGTTTTGTCTTTAGATATTTGATGGAGTATAGATTGAAAACACGTGTGGTTATATACTCTCAATATCTCAAGTGTCATTGTCCCTTAGAAATGTCTGTTGGCTTTACCTCAGGGTGATTACATTCACTCTTTTCACCTGAGGTTATAGGTTACAAGGGAGGCTTTAATACCATATGTAATCACAGAATAATTGGAATGCCTCAAGGACAGACTTGGTCCAATCCTCTTGTACTGAGAAAGGACTGGGAATAATTTGATCACCCTCAACCGATGTTTGTTTAACCTTGTGTTTACCTCAAACTAAAGAAATTGTGCCCAGCATGTATTTTCTTGGTAAGCAGTGAAGAGATGGCATCTTAAGGCATCCATACCTCCACTGGGTCCTCTCATCTGCTGCTGTGGCAGCATGGACATCTTCCATCTTCCTAGCAAAGTCTCACCTGGGAAGTGCTGGAGGTACCAGTGTCAAGGTGAGCGGGAGCTGGAAGGGCGAAAGCCTCTTCCCTTGCTTCCACTTGTTCTTCTCTGTGTATATGCAGCAATAATTAATAGTTTCTTTGTATTAAGAAGTCAAGATTAGAAACAATTTTTCACATCAGACTTCCCTTGGCTCTTCTCTTGTTCAGGTCTGATACGGACACCAGGGAGCCACCCCATCAGTGTCACGTGCCTTTCCTGGGCAGAGGAACCCTCTAACCCATCATTCACGCTTCACGTTTCATCCGTCTGTCAATTCAATAGCCAACCAAATTTGCAGTCCTTGATCACCTTTAGAATTGAAAATGTTTGCTAATTTCCAACTTTAAACTTTTCAAAAACGACGGTGATATTACCTTTTCTTTCCTTTAGTGCAGGTGGTGGAACACAAAAGACAGTAATTGATTTTAACAACTTCCACTGGCAGGCAATGCTCATGCCTGTCCCCAACACGAGCCCCCGTCCATCTGCCTCTGTCTCCCTCTCACCTCTCTCTCCCCCTGTTTCATTGCCTCTCTGTTTCTTTCTGTCTGTCTTTTTTAAAAATTAAAAAGCTCTGATTTATTCTACCTTTACTCAGAGAAGTTTGTTAAAACTCCTGTCGTTCTTGATGCCTCTCAACTCTTGCCAATTTACTTGAATACTTTTTGGTCAAAATACAATCATCCTGAATTAAGTTCTCTGGATCAGACCTTTGTAGTGCCCCCTACTGAAGAATAATTATCTCCCATGTTTCATATATGACATTGCTATTAACATAGAGCCAGATGAGATTTGCACTTTGGCCACAAGGCTGCATTCTTGACAGGCACTTTAGCTGAGGTCTTCTCTTGTGATACTCTATAGTATATTGCCACTTGTCGACTTCGAATGTCATCTCATTGAATCTCGACCATCTTTCCAATTTATCAGGATCATTTTGAATCTTAATTCTGGCTTCAAGAATGCTGTTACCCTTGATAGTTTAATGTACACTGCAAATTTTACAAGTACTGTCTTCCATCATTTAAGTTAATGAAAGCCCTGACAGACCTCTGTCTGAAATACCTTCCTAGCTTTAGAGCAAAGTATTAAATCTTCTAGGAAAGTGTATTTTCAGCCACTTTGGGAGTACTGTTGATTAGTGCTAGTACATATTTTCTCAGATTGCTTACACGGGTGCTACATAGCTTTACCAGGGCAAATATAGATGCCCCCTTCTGCATCCTTTATTCACTAAGCAATTATTCTATCAAAGAACAGATTGAGGATTTTGCGGATGGTGCCCAGGAGTAAAATATTTTAACAAAATCACATCATATTTTTGTTTCAAAGTTTCCTCTCTTATTTCTGTACCATGGCGGCAGCAAATAAGATGGAGGGCTTGAGGATTTCATTATTGTGCCACTGTAGGTGATTGTAGATATGAACAAGAAAATTTTTCAAAGTTTCTCTATAACCACCCACAGAATAGGTTTAATGCATTCATTCATGCTGGTTTTCTGAGAATTAATTTACATTTTGTATATTTGAGTGTATCGCTTGAAAAGATATTTTTATCATGATTTTTAATACAGTAATGTGATGAGATCATAAGGATTTGCTTTGGAAGGAATTATAATTAATTGATGCATATATGGAAGGTATTATTCCACAAGCCTAAAATTTATATCTATTTGTCCTCTGTAATTTTTCATGAAGGAGAGAGAGAAAAAAACCATGAAATCACAGAGCAGTAGTATCTTTTGGTCTCTTCTCTCCCTACCTCATGACTGTTAATAAGAAATTTTCAGTGGAAAAATCTGTGAAGGGAAAAGGTATATTTAAGAAGTCAGAATTTCATTATGAAAAAATTCTGGATTCTATACACTGTGTTAAACTTCCTTTTGTCCCTTATATGTTAATTTATATTCTACTCTATCCTACATACTTGATCTTTTCTTCAAGCTGCCTTCAATAATACAGAACATTATTCGGGGAGAGATTTTTCTTCTTTCTTTCTGTTGAATGTATGATGAAAAAAACCTTGAATAAACCTCGAGTGAAGACATTATGAGGAAAATCTTACCGGGGTGGGAGGAACGAGCACGGAACAACTGCTGAGTCACTTCCTCCTACCGTGCAAGGCGTCTTCAGTAACCCAGAAAGCTTGTCAAAGTCGAACCCATGCTCCGCTGGTACAGCACGTCTACCTGGGATATCATCAGAAGGCTTCCTGACAAATCTTTGGGGGGAAGACAAGATAATTAAGGAACTGACTTTAGAATGTGAGCTGTTAACTGGCGCGCTGAGCTCAGTGGAGCACACAACTTGTAAATGTCACCGTCAAACCAGATATTTATTAGTTTGAACTGACACACTCTAACTTCCCAGTAAGGAGTGAGAAAATATTCCCTATCACTTGAGCCATTTAAAATTGCAGCACGGCCTGAAAAAATGTTCTCTTGAGCTGAAGGCTCTTATGGCAGTGAGGGGAATGAGGAGATGAACTGCTTAGGTCTTTCCTTTCTGTTTTTGTCCCCCTGCTTTTCACCACCTTCAAGATGGTGTTGGTTTTTTCTACAATCAAAATTGTTTCCAGAGTGCTATAGGGTAAGCTGGCAATTCAGCTTATGCAGTAATGAGTACATGGGAATATGAAGACCTAGAGTACAAAATACTGGGAACACTTTTAAAAACAAATATTGACTTTTCCCCCTCCTTGGTTACTAGCTACAGACTGTGCTGTGAGAGAAACCAATCACAGACTCATTCCCAAACTGTCCAGATGAAAAAGACCTGTAGGTTACTTTGCTTATTGCCATAACTCTCTGGAATTGCCTCCTGCCATATATTTGAGTACTATATTCAGGCTAATTTGCCATAACTTTCCACTAGAAAGCTATTCCATACCCTGATAAATCTCATCCTAGCTCTTCCCACAACTCCCAACCTGAAAAACTCAGTCCATATTTTCTTTTGTCCATTTTCATTCTGAATTAGAGATGATGCCTGAAATATTTAAAGGCTGAGGACCTCAGCAGGCACTGGAGAATGCTCTCCAGGCTTTCCCAGTCATTTTCTTTGCTCTGCGTAGGATCTGGCATTGTAATAAAAATTCCAGGCAGACAAGCAAAAATGACCCATATGACAGGACTATTTCCTACCCTTATCTCTTGGAGATAAAGACTTTTTTAACCTATAACTTGGTAAAGTTTAGCAAGCATGAAAGGAGAAGTGCCTTATAACATTGTTGGTTCTACGATACTGAATTAAAGAAATACCTTTATCGAGAAGAAATACAATTTTAAAATAACCTTCTTGAAGTATGATTGATTCACTCAGGCTCATAGACCCACTCTTGGACCAAGAGGATGTTGAAATGGTTCAGGCTCCATTCTGCAACACAGAACCCAGTAGAGACTCATCTACCCGACTTCTTGAGTAATTTAAACCAAGGGAAATTTTTCTCTCATTTACAGGGCAATCAAATCAGACTCAACCGGAAGATAAAATGAAATTCAGATTCAAAGCTATTCAGGATAGAGCATAAAAGTCCTAGGCTAGAAGCTAGTTTGGAATTTCCTCTCCCTTTTCAGTGTTAATTCTGGGTTAAAATTACAATCTTTTGCCACTCTCATCCAGATCTTTGAGATAGCGTTAGTGTAGTTCATCAGCTAATTTTCAAATAGCCTTAATACAGGGACTGAATCTTTTAGCAGGAATCCTTTTAAATGTCACTAAAATATAAAGAAAGCACTATTTCCCTGAGTAAGTGGTGATGAGGTTGGAAAAAATGGCACTCTTTTGAGCTCTCTCCTTGTTATCTCTCTTTATTCCACACAAGCGTAGTAGTAATAGCCTGGAGCAAGCTCTGTGTGCCCTTTCAATCAGAAAAACACCTTGATTTGTATACTTATATAGCACAGGCCAAGCTGAAGTAAGAATTTATTTCCTGAATAAAACAGATTTAATGTGAAAGGTGATCCTCAAAAGTTTTACAGTTTCAGTTGCCTTGGACAAGCACCAAGAGACGTTAGTAGGACTATCGTGCATCTGAGAGCTGCAAAGACACGGATGGCAGGGAGGGAATGTTCTGTACACAGGTGCCTTTCTTCAAGGCCAGTGTACAAATTAGAAATATTAAATTAAGATTAATATGATAATTATCAAACCCACACTTTCAATACCTCACTCGACATTGTGTTGTGGTCCAGAAGTCTGCCCAGTTCAGACCCTTCAATACACGGATGGCTCCTGCAATTATCTGATTCTGGTACCCCGAGATCCTTCTGAGCTTCAGCTTCATTGTGTGCAGAGAGGAAAATAAAAGAAAAAAAAAAAACAATGTTAAGAAAATATTCGCCGGTCTGAAAGAAAAAAATTATGGCAACAAAACAATGTTAAGAAAATATTCGCCGGTCTGCTACAACATTATAAAGAAAAAAATTATGGCAACGAAAATGTTTATTGGAAAGAGTCATCTTCAGTTTTCCTGGTTATACATTTGTTCTTAATTTTATAAGAATTATATTAATTATATTAATTAATTCCTGAACCTTGAAACGAGTGCAAAAAATAGACAGAGGATACAGTGAGTAATTAGCATGGTCATCAGCTTATTGTTTGGAGTGCTGAGACCTGCCTGAAAGGATGCTGTACTGAGAATACTCTCCAACATGAAAAAGAGACCCACAGGAAAACAGCTATTATATCGAGTAATCTTCAGCCAAGAGGACGTGTCTATGAAATAACTTTTGGAGACCTTTGGTAATTCAATACCTCAACCTCAGGTCACCAAGCTACTAGATCAGAAAAGAAATGTTCATAAGCCCTTCTGAAATACCTTTCTTCCATAACAGCAGTGCACTGAAATGTATGGTATAAGGCAAATGAAGGATGCATTAGTATGTGACCTAACGATTATATGAACAAAAGAAGGGGAAAAACATTGCACCACCTTTCTCTAAGTTCCATTTATCCATGAAATAACAATTGCATTCATATTTGCATTTCCATTACACAGAATAGCCTACCTTCTGACTTACCAGCACAATGGTATTGTTTTATTTATTTAAGCTGGATGGTTTGCTTTTCACGGTATGACCAGCTGGTAGAAAAATAGGATTCAATAATGCGAACATTTCACAGTAAATAAATTGCATTAATACAACAATATAAAAGCTGTGCTCAGCAGTTTCTCTAGGACAAGGTCTGCTCTAGAGCTATGCACGCAGCTCTCTAAACACTCACTTGGAGAACTATGAAGGTTACATCTCGCTATATGAAATAATACAAAAAAGATGTTGAAGTTCCACTCCGGATTTTGTTTACTCACTTCTCCCCGTTAAAGAGAGTTACATGTTTAATTGGCTCCTTTCACATACAAATCTCTGTGGCTCTATTTCTTGCTTACGTTCACCATTGCAGGCTTCTGTGTAAAATCTTGCAGTGACTAAAGACTACAAAACAAATAGAAAATTGGCATAGCCATTAAATTAATTTCAAAGTTACTGTATGGAGAGATCACTCCCCATTTACCCCCAAGGGAAAAAAAAAAAAAAAAAGAAAGAAAAAAGGGATTCAGAAAGGTTCTTTTGGTGTTTGATATGTTGACCTGATTGCCTGGTAGATTTGACATCCTCTGTGTGGAACTCCATCACCTCTGTGGGTGGGTACAGAGGACAAATGTTCTTTGCTCCATTTCTTTGAGCTGTAAGAGAAAATGGGCCTCCCTTCCTTCTTTGGTCTTCTCTGTTTACAGGATATCCACAGTCTGTCTTAAGAAAACCCTTGTAGTAGCTTGCTATGGAAGGAATCAGCAAAAGCTCTCCTCCTACATCCTAAGCAGACCCAAATCAAAGAATATAACACTAAATCACTGTTCAATGGTCTGTCACCTTTCCTACGCACGAACCGTTTACAAAGGAGCTACAAACATCTGAAAAAAAAAAAAAAGAGGAGGCACTCAACTGGTGTCATGACTGTTCCTTATGTCAAGTGGTATGAATTAACAACTGCTGCCACGCAGCTCAGAAGTTGCTATAATAGAGTCAATGGCAGGGCCCTGTGGCAAGTGAGCACTTCCACAATGTGTTCCTTTGACTTCATATCTTCTCTGTCTCTCATACAGCACTTCCAGTCCACAGCCCAGTTTGACACAAGCCAGTCATTTCTTGTATTTTGCTGGCAATAAACACCATCTGTGCAAAAGCTGTGCTATTCAGCAATGACAACATCCATCAGAGAGAGCCAGTGCATTATTTTGCTGGCACTCAAACTTGTTTGGCCTTCGCAAGACAATGAATCTTTTATATATTGCTTAAAGAATTATTTTAGTGTTCTGTTTGAGTTTCATAGAAACCCTGGATTCTTTCAGTATGAATGGAAAATCATTGTTGAAGGAAAGAACACTGTGAGGTCGTGTCTTAGTTTGAAGGGTAACAAAACCAAAATGAAAATAAAAACACTTGCCTGCTTTTAATGCTCCCAATTGTCCTCTTTCTCCTTGACTCCTTCGTAACAACTACAAGCTTTTTATTTCTGATCCAGTACCAAGGAAAAAGAAAAGCCTCTTGAAAATGTAGTGTTTGAATATGGATAATCACGTATTTTTCTTTAGAAATTACTTAATTATTTGCATCTTCATAAAAGTACCCTAAACACTTAAGTTAGAAGAAAAATGATTGTGTTTTTAACTCTTTGTAATATTCATTATTACAATGGGGTAGCTTAGGATGGTGAAACCAAATGGCCCAGGTGCTCCAGGTCTGTTGGCACATTCCTGGTTTGGTGTTTCTGGTGTCAGTAGTTGGGGAGTGTGTGAGCAGTATTAGTGGGCATCAAACCCGGCCACCTACCTGTGGACTTGGAAGAAGTTCCTCCATTGCAAGGCTGGTCACCCTCTGATCATGTAGCCCTGAGGACTTCACATGCCTGACGTTCACCACATCGCCTCTGCAGTATCACAACCTGTGGGTCTGTTAGGAACAAAATTACAAAAGGCAAAATGAGTTTCAAGACTTTCATGGCTTTTGACGGGGTCAAAAATACCATGCAAACATGTGTACAGTTATGGTTTTGACCTGTTTGTCAGAATCCTGCTTTCTGTGATACAGCTATAATGGATACACACTGTCCCAAATGAAAAAGTGTTCTAGAAACAACTTGATAAAGCTGTTCTGTCTCATGTGTTCCTCAGTTTCTTGTCTAAACTCATTACATGCATAAAATGTTACCTGTACTTACGATAGGTGCATTGTATTATGAAGCATTCGTGATAACCTCTTTTTTTACAGATAATGCTTGTCATGACTGAACCTGCAAAATAACATTTAAGTCAAGCCCCTTTTATCTTTTTTGAGAATATATTTCTCAATGTATCTGCAGCATGGAGCCATAGCAAAAATCTGTACCAGAAAGTGATGGAAAACATTTTTATACTTTATCTCTCAATAAAAAAAAAAAGCATACATACATTCTACAGACACCCATTTCTAGAGTGCATGCACACTGACAAGCTCCTATTGTTCTTTCTTTAGGGAGGCACTTGGCACGGAGTACATCCAGGGTGAAATAAATAAATAAATAAATAGAATGAAAAATACCGTTGCTATATTTGTATTTATCATTAGCAAGACAACAACCGCCTGCATTCTCTGTTGATTACAATTAATATGAAAGGGTAGAAATTATAACAAATAAAAAATTTCTCAAACATTATGCATGAGCATTGAGCTGATTTTATTCTAATGTTCCACGACATCCACACGGTAGTCAGAAAGCTTGAAACAATTAAGCATAATAAAGATCTAAATATGTAATTTTTCTTTCTAACACCACTGCTAAATTATAACCTTAAAAAACAGCGGAATTTCATCGGTGCCAATGTTTGTTGCTCATAAAGAAACTCACAAGTTTATGTATGTATTTAATTATACATGATTTTTACTTCTATTTTTACCCATATTCATCACCTCTTCTGCAAGGGCAAAATGCAGAGTTTCCTCATGGTATTGTCTTTAAACACCATTTAAGTCAAAGCAGAATGGGTGCTTGAGTAGACCCTTCAGCTGGGTGAGGGATTTCATCTAAGCCCAGCAGTCCCTCAGCTGGCCTGGCTCTCCTTCCATTAAAGCTGCTGGAATTGTGATAAGTATCCCCAGGTGAGGGTCTGGCCTCCAGTTTTTGAGCAAGAAGTAGCTCCAGCGCAGCAAAAGTTGTAAAGAATTCACTTTGAAAATTTGAGACCTTCTGCAACAAGCACTTTTTTTCCCCCCGTCACAGTATCCTCCTGCCTGATGACTCTTCTGCTGACAGTAAACTAAATATTGAACACCCCTTCAAGGGATTTACCTTTTTACTTCTGAGCTTTTCAAAGAAACTGATAAAATGTCTAATTATTTGAATAATCAAGGCAATGAATATTTGATCACTAACATCAAAGATGCAGGCATAATTCAGGAGTTGAGGTATGTGCTTAATATTGCATTACTCATAACACAAAGAAAATTATAATTTCTTTCAAAATGTGTTTGTTAAAAGGTATTTTTCCTCTGCCTTTGGAACAGTGGAATGGAGAAATATTGGGAATTAATTTGGAAATATTTATTTAATTATCCAAACATTGTCATTGTGTCATTTGACAAGCTGTTGGATGAAACAAATCAGTGGTCAATTTATGGAAAACAACTTTCAGTGCCAGTAACGGTCTGAAATCTGACCAGACATGCTGATTAATATTAGTTGCTGCAGAATGAAACAAATCAGTGGTCAATTTATGGAAAATAACTTTCAGTGCCAGTAACAGTCTGAAATCTGGCCAGACATGGAATATAAGTTGCTGCACAGGAATGAAGGCTGAATTATCCATTCAGAGTCAATGAAGTCATTTTGGTTTTGGTTTTGAGTGAGATATATGCTGACAAGTGAATATGAGACATTATCATTGCCACTCCCTGGGAGTTTCTGCTTGTCTCTCTTCCCAACATCCAGAAAATGTGTCAATTTAGTCCTAATCCCCCTTTCCCATTTCATCCCTCAAGGCTCAGCATCACTGCAACCACTGATCATTAACAGACACCCTTCGACTTTGACATGACCTAAAGCTCAAGCTGGAGGTAGCCAAGAAACAAAGCAACCATTTCTTTTGTAATATTTCAGACACACCTTGAGCAGTTCAGGGACCGTCCATCAAGAGCAGCTGCCACCCAGAAAGACACTGTCAACTTTATAAAGCCCTGAGCATTTACCTGCCCTGACAAATTGTTCCTATCAAGATGCCGTGTTGTTTTGGTTGCAGGTAATTAAAATTAACTCCTATCTAGAGATAGAAGGAACTGCAAAGGCAGAAAAATCACTTAGTTGAGCCTGAACTGATCTCAGAATGTGGGTTTGGACCCTTCATTCTCCTCCCCTCTGCAGTTCTGGAACAAATCTTCATTACAAAAGACCAAACACAGGCTGGCTCTAAACACAGACCCCTTTCAGGACTGGGTTTGGCAACCACATCCCTTTTTCTGAGGCAGAGTGGTCCATAATAAGTGCAAAACTGCACAGAATTAGCCAAGCCACACACCGTGAGGTCAAAATCCAGTTCACAATCCCCTTTTTTATCCATTTAATCAGTGTCTTATTCATGTCACTGTGTGCATTCCTACCGATTGTATCTCTAGCAGTGCATCGCCCACTCACTTTTAATCTCCTTTGTTAATTAGTTTATGAATACACCGAGCATGACTCCAAGCTTCACTTATTAGCAAAAATTTTACGTACTTTTAGCATTATATTTGAACTCTTTCGGCTCTGAATATCCTCACTGTGCAGTATCTCAGGTGTCTGAGTGATCGCCGGTGCTTTTTAGTGGACTGCAGACATCCTGCTCATTAATCTAAGTAACTGCTTACTAGTCATATTCTCAAGTACCCCATCACTTCTGGTGCACAGCAATAATATTTGGGCTTTCTACTTTCTTAAAGCAATATAGCAATATTTCAAACCAGGTACTAATCCAGTCCCCTGGGCAGAAAATACATGCAGTCAGCTCCATTTATGTAAAGATATTTATAGGGCATGCTATCACAATACTCCATTATTTAGTAGAGTTGGTTGTAAAATAAGATAAATATAAAAATTGCATAATATTTTAAGCTCTGACTCTAGAACTTTTATTTTAATGGTTACATATTATCTAAACCTCCCATTTGGATCTCCTGACTGCTGGCAAACCTTATTTCTTTACATTTTTTTATGAAGAAGTGAAGAGTTTTTAAACTAAAAAAAAAAAAAATCCCAACAGCTTCTTTATTTAAAAGTGAATTCTTTCATTTTGTTTGAATAAATTTTAACTGAAATGGAAATTCATAGCCCTCCTTCCCAAGGCTTCTACAAACGTACAGCTAGAAAAAGAAACAGTGTCATTTGGTCACCACAACCACCCACTAACCCTGCCCAAAACTGAACAAGACAGAAGGAAAAGGCCACCTGTGTTACATTCACCTCATTGTCAATTAAAAGAGTGAAATATTGCAGGATTCTAATCTCTATTATTATATCTATAGTGAATAAATGATCCAAGTGGGAGGGTAAAGACATTAAAGGAGGATTATTTACCCAAAGAACTCTCCAGTTTCTTGATAGTAGGAGTCTTCATTGGAAAAAAAAACAACCCTACATCTGAGGAACAATAGCTCAAATTGCAGGTATTCACTAGCAGAGACAAAACTTGCTTTTAAAAAGGCAACACAACTACTATTGTAATTTCTACTCAAGAAATAATTCCTGCCTTTGGACACCACAGGGCCATAAATCCACTGATGGCAGGAGGGATGGCGGTGGTGGAGAGAGGGGTAACAACTACAGCATTAACAAAACCCACAAAACCCCCTAACCATAGAATTTGAAGCACTAACATGAGAAAAAAAGAAATTCAAGCTTTAGATATAGCTCAGCTAAAACATGAGGCAGGGAAAGCAGCCAGCAGATATTTTAAGGATGTGTTTGCATGGGAAATGCTTAGAACTGAAACAGAAAGAACTATGAAGTGTTGCATAAACAGGAGAGACGAAGTCAAGTGAAAATTAAAAAAAAAAAATATTTGACAGCAAGTGCTGTGTGGTTGCTTCGTTATGGTTTCCCAAGGGAAACAGGCAAACCTGTTTCACTGGCAACAGTAAAACACAAAATAAGCTGGACAAAAGCACAAGAAAATGTACTGCAGAGGAAATGCAGCAGTCAGAGGTGGCACAGGAGAGTATTTGCATCCCTGAACTACTCATTTTCTGGCTGGTGTTTCACTGTGATCCTATTTTTTCCCTCTGAAACCACTAATCTCCCACCATACAGTCATCCTAAATGACGGTGCCTGCTTCCAAAAACCTGCCACTGTAACCTACCTGTCTGTGCCATTCAACATGGACATCTGTATCCAGAGTCCTGCTTCTGGGAAGAGCCAGCAGCTGGGGTCACATCCTCCTATCAGAAAAGAAATAGCCAGAAATTAACTGCTCTATGAAAAGACATAAAAACATCATCCAGTCTTGAAAGCATGCGATAATTTCCCCAGTCTATTTTTATAATTGAATGGAAAAATCTCCTTTAACATTTCACATAGATTATTAGAGAACACTTAATTTATGCTGCTAAGTACTGCCTTAAAAATACCTTTAGTGGAGTCTTCAAAATGACAAACACCTGTCTTATCGCTCGCACCAAGAATAGGTTTCCATCACAGACCATAATAACAAAACGATAATTTGCGAGGTTCTGAAAAAAGATGGGACTAGTAAAAATCATCACGTAACTGACTTTTTAATACCCCAAGATCACTGTCGCTTAATAAGACTGAGACTTTGAGAGTGAAATTAAACCATAAATCCCTGGAAGAGACTTTCATGAGCCTAACATGCAATTATAAGGTGAAAAAAAAAAAAAAAATCAGCTTTCAGGTTCTAAATGTCTCTCTGTCAATAGAAAAGCAAGGAGAGAATGTAAGCACACACTATTAGAAACAAGAGCAGCTCAGCTCTGGAGATCTCTAGGAAATTGAAAATGCTCAAGGTCCAAAATTGTTCCATCCAGCATTGCAAAAATTCAATTTACAAGAAGTCCTCAAATTAGAAAATTACTGGTACAATCAAATTTTGCTCCATGAATGGTATGAAAGGAGCAAAACATGTTTTTAAGGTGCTCTCCAAAATTCTGGGCATCTCAGACAGACTTTGAAAGAACTTTCCAGGGATTTTGCAGCTCTGCAGACCCAAGACATCAGAGCTGGCCCCAAAGGAATGGACAAGAAATCTGTCCTGGTCCTGCTTTCAGATTCTCAATGCAATGAAAACACCACTATGCAAAGAAAATATCCTAAAACCTAAATACAATTGGTGAGCATTCCTCCCCTGACTCACATGCAGAAGGTCACCTTTGCAGAGGTGACATGCAGGCAGGGCTGCCCACAGGCCGTAGAAAACTCCTCCTTGAGGTGCCTCAAGGAAGAAGCTGCCTCCAAGCCAGAAGTGCTTCAAAGCCTTTCCCAGGGCTAACAGATTCTCCCCTTTGTAGAAGGCGGTGGAGATGCCTAATGAATCATGGCTCAGAGCTGTTTCCAGATGCAGGGATGTTTTTCACGAGATATCTCAATTTCTGTGAAAGAGCAGGGTAGGGTTTTTTCAACAGAAACTCTTCTGTCTGATGAGGTCTGACCAGCCTCATTTCTATAGGATTGAGCTTGATTTTTTATAGTTTTAGGAGTTAACTTTTATAAAAAAAATTAAACCAAGCTTCTACTTTAAAAAAAAATAAGAAGAAATTGTAGGATCAGTTGTGTAAACATGTGAGAAAGTTTCTGACAGCGAGTGCCCTGGAAGTCTATGTACCATGGCAGGGAAAGAGGCTGTCACTGCAGCTGCTGTGGCTCCAGCGTGGCAAGACAGAGCTCCTGTGGCTTCACCAGTTTATGTGCCCAGTAAAACCTGGGCAGATGACACGGAGTTGTTGGCTGCCTTCCCGTTGGGTTTGGCTGGGACTGCCAGTCTCACTCAGAGTAACCTGGGTGTTACTGTACTGCCTGGTAGGTCCAGAAGTGTGAATTGCAGCAGGAAAAGCTGCTCAGTCTGGGGAGGTAAAAAGCTATTTCTAGCCCAAACTTCTCTTCCTGTGATGGGCCACGAACACCTGCTCAGCCAGCGAGCTCCCGCAGAGTTCACTGATGTCTCCAGGCTTTGGATCACGTTTATGCAGCTGATAAGCAGAAATTTGATCTCTAGATACTCGTCTGTTCAAACCACACAGATACCGCAAGGTGAGATGCCATGGTTTCAATTACCTTTCCTAAATTGCACACGTGTAAGAGAGGGAGCAAATAAAACAGACAGAATTGCTGTTATTCAGAAGACACCCCAAGAACCAGGGAGCTGCAGGAAGACTAAACATGACAGGGACTCCCCGGAGGGCTTTGCAGAGAGTCAGGGAGAAGGGGAATTCTCTTTTTCCCTCAGCACACCTGAAATTGAGAATCTAAGGCAACAAAGGAATAGCGTTTGTTTAATAAAAGGTAATTTTATTCTTAATTCTTCTGTGAGAAGAACTGGAGAACTATTTAAAGCACAGTGAAACGCTATACAAATAATACTTCCTTGGACAACAAAGGGAAAGCAAGGCATTTGTCTAACGCGAGAGAGGAAATTGCTAGAGAAGCTCAGATAATACTGTAGCCTTTTGTTGACATTTTTTTAATAGTGACTACAATTGTAGAACAGGTCTATGTGCTGTGAATAGATGCTATGAATAAAACTCAGGTACCCTGCTAGTCAATTTTTCTTACCAATAAATACACACCCCAGAAAACTTTCGTCTGCGTGGCAAGTAGTATTTAATCCACGTACTTTGTACCTCTGATGGAATGACAATGGGGATTCATTATGGGTACACCCCTAGGTACAATGTAGCATTTGGCATAGAATCACTGAATTGTCTTGGTTGGAAGGGACCTTTAAGATCATCTACTCCAAACATCAACCTAACTCTGATAAAAACAAAAGACCACATCTCTCAGCCATGTCCCTAAGCATGCATCCCTGACTGTCGTTAGGCACCTGATGGTAAAACAGTGGGTCAGCCAGAGGAAGGAGGAAGCCAAAGCCCAGGTGTAGAGGAGATGTGTGGACACAGAGATGGCAGGAGGCTGTGGTCAGAACCCCACGGCTGGACCACCACCTGTGGAGTTCTCTCTCAGCACGGAAAAGAGGATGCAGAGCAGAGTCTTACAGGTTTTAGTCTTTCCAAGAGGAAGCAAGGGACGCAGATCCTGTTTAATGTCAGAAACAATACTTAATGGCTTTTAGTGACATATTTACCTAATATTTACAGGTTAAAGGTACGTAAGACTGGCTTCAGATGGCCTCAGCAACCTTTGGTTCAGCTGATAGTCTGAGGAATGTTTCTGCTTCGTTATTGTGCTCAAAGACCTTAATTCCGGGCAGTTTCATGTTGCACCGTTCCCAAAAAAGAAGGGGAAAACACACCAATTTCTAACATGACTTGACTCTATTTCATTGTGTTGGACTCAACCTGAGTAACTATTTTATGTCCTACCCAGCTAAATTACTGCTTAATCTGAGCTGAAATCTAAGAAACCAGATGTGTGAGATACGGATTTAAAGAACATTATTTCGGAGAGGGAAATCTGACTGAAACTCACCCCCTGCCTTGGTTTAGCAGAGTCACGTCTGGAGAACGGCCCTTCTTATCTAAGCCTTACCAGGAGGCAAGACAGAGCAGTTGCTGAATCTTGCTCCTTGGAAAACCACACAAGTATTTCAAATAGAATTTCTAATAGTTGATTACCTTAAGGTAATGAAAAGACTTTTGAAGAGCTTTTTTTTTTCCCTTTTCTTTTTATTTTTTTTTCTTTTCCTTAGGTCCTTCCTTTTCTATGACAGATTGTTAAAAGTATACAGAGAGGTCCTCAGAATAAATCTGCATAGTTAAGTTGACTTCAGTGGTTTCTTGACAACTGAAGTGAGTTGAACTTCTAGCCTTGTAATTTAGAGCATAAGACCCATGTCAGGTCTGGTCTAGGCCATCAGCTGCTCTCCAGCAGTGACCAGTAGTGTATACCTAGGGAAAAATATAAGAATAAGACTTTTTGACTGAGGCAGAGATTATATCTTTAAAGTCCTTGACGGATTGTTTTATTCTTCCATCAGTTTGGCTGCTGACCGTTTTACCCCAAATATATTTCTGCCTCTTAGCCATGAATTCGACTAGATGTTTAACTAACTAGTTTAATTAAGCCAACAGTTTAACTAGATGTTAGAAAGTTATCTCTTGATTGTTTTGAACCTGTTCCCTAATCCATCTATTTGTTATCCCCTAGTTCTATTTGAGAAACAATGACAAATTTTCCCTATTAACTTCTTCATTTCTGATTGCACAGACCTGTGTCGTATCAACTTCAGTTATCTCTTTTTCTTTGTTGTTTTTTTTGTCTTGACAAAGAAGCGATTCAATATATTTGCTCATCCTTCTCCCTGACTTGAGTTCTCTTATTTCCTGTTTCAAGATGAGAACAGATCCAAACAAATACTACCCAGAGACCCCTTACTGTCTTTGAAGACTGCAGTGATTTTTTAAATAACGCTGTATAAAAATGACATATGTGAAACGCAAAGAAATTTGTTGGAGACTTGAAACGCTTAAGAGTAAGTAAATCTGATTTTACTCTGTATATTAAATCTGCTGATGAAGAAGGTAAGTTCTCATCAGCAGCAGTTACAGCTTCCCTGCTTTTCTTGCGCTGGGGATAATTCTGCCTCAGAGATGTTACTCACTGATATCTTTTTCCATGACAGATGTTTAAGCTGATACTTCCTTACATGACAAGAGTGAAAATAGACCGAGCATCAGTTACACTCGATGGAAACCCCCTAACATCAACAGAACCAGTAGAGACCCCAGGTCCTTTATCTTACCTCTCAGACAGTAGTTTGGCAGCTCTATATATGATAATGTAAGAATAATTGCTTATTACATTTCTGCTGTAACATACAAGCATTGTGTAATTCAGCATTAATGTCTGACAACCCAGCTGTCATCTTTCCAAAAATACTTGCTGTCTAACTACTTGCTTCTACTTCAAACCAAAGGAAGACATTCCGCTCCGGGGCATTTTGACAGGGTGTTATCTTTTGAAAAGACAGATGTTTGTGCTGGAACTGTCTGATAGTTTTAAGGCTTATGCACATGTTTCAATAAATAAGTGCTAAATTACTTGCCAGGTCCTGAGTTAAAGTTCAGGCTGGGGCGTCTTCTAGAGAAATATATCGGTGACACACAAGACGAAGAGCAGCATGTTCACACAAAAAGTTTCAAATCACCTTTCAAGCAACACAGAAAGCCAAGAAGCTCTGGCTTTAAGGCTTTCTTGTATGTGAAAGGACACCGAGAATGTGTGAAATAGATGGAGTTGCCATTCTCTGCCCTTCTCCATTTCATCTCCCAAGAGAAATACTTCAGAGGGTGGGCAAATAATTCCTCACCTTATAAGGGATTTTATTATTTGAAGTAGTGCGATAGTCCTTATTGACCCAACTTTGATTTGTAAGCTGATGATGAAATTAATTTGGCCTTTGGTATAACCACAATTAACTTCTCCGGAAGGGAGGTGATACGATGTCTTGCAGTAAAAAACATCTCTTAGCAAGGAGCAGCACAGGGCCTTCCGTGTTGTTTGAGGTTTCAATAGACTTACGTCAGACTCAAGTGCTTCGTCTGCCTCCAGCTGGTCCTCTGCAGAGGGTGGAATTTCACCTTGGAGGATAAATTATGGAAATTCTTTCACCTCAGAATGACTAACTATTATCTGATGTGGGAGTTTAATTCCTCCTTCAGATGCCAGATAATGGACCAAACAAAGAACTGGAGGATGACACTGATTGAACAGTGTTTAATATTCTTTGTTTAGAAAGTCTGGTTAACCTGTCACTGCTAAATGAATATAAGTGTTGTGTCTGTGTGTACTTTAGGCTCTGTCTTGTATTAATAAATAGAAGTAGGATAAACTACTTGAGCTTTAAAATGACTTACAAGGGAATATATTAAATACTCCCCTCCCTCTTTTAATCAGGTAATTACTTATTGAATGAAAGGGTGGGGAGGAAGAAAGAGAAAAGAAAAGCAAAATGGGGATCACATCTTTTTTTAATATTCTGGAAGACAGGAATATTCTAAAAGTCTGTTTTCTGCCATTTAACTACCAGAAGACCAATCTGAGGACCCTAATTCTGGGAAACTTGCTCAGTAGGATTACTGTAAGTCATTCTGGGATCACAGCTAAGAAAAATATAGGACAAATAATTCAGAAAATTAATATGAGATGTGAGGTGGCAGCTGAATAAAAGAGAAGTACAATGCCATTTATATAACAAAATAAATACATATAAGTATATATATATACGTATGCATATATATACAAAACCCTTATGAGACTTCCAGTTTGCAAGCTGTTCTGTACAAAGATTTTACATCTATATAATCTACTTCTTGGGACCAAAAAAAGACCATTTTAAGTGGAACAGCTTTGTAAGTTAGAACCTAACAGTGTTTCTCCTTATGCCAACTGGTGCATCCTGTTCAGTCAACCATATGCTTAATTTTAACCTTAGACAATATGAAAATAAAATGAATGAAAAAACCTTGGTTGTCTGGTGCTGGAGCTCCGGTGCAGTCTGACCCTGTCGGCCTTGTTCAGGGCTGGAGAAGGTCACAGGTGTTGGCAGCTGCTCATTGATTCTAGATACTGGAAGACAATTTTGTTGGAACAATTTTGATATTTTTCTGGCCAAAACAAGGATTTTCCCATATGAAAACTACATTTCCCCTTCCCCTGGTCTTTGAATTACCCCCCTCCCAACTGTACCTCCTGCCCCAGCTGCAAAACCTGTAGCAAAAGCTCCTTAGCTGCTGGCTTGGAGGCACCTGCAAAAGCCACCCTCCATGCACATGCCAAGAGCTACCTGCTTTTTATTTGCTGCTTTATTTTTTTCATTATTATTTTTTGGCCCAGATTTGCAAGCAAGCAAGGCATCAGCAGCAGATAGTTAGCAGGGCAACAGAGTAGCCATTAGGTGTTTTTACTTCCTCTTTTTCCTCTGATCAGCTATTCAAAGCAGTATGTAAAGCTGCAAGTATTCCCTGGGGAGAAAAAAATAAAAGACGAAAAAAATGAAGCATTTCAATATAAAAAGCATTGACTTCTTTGTTAAAAAGAAATCATTTAATAATGCCGTGCATTTTTTTCAGAGCTCATACTGGCTTAAAGTAAAAAAAAAAAAGAAATAAAACATATTTTGTTCCATTTGGACTAGGTGGGCACTTCAGAAGCAATTCTTACTAGTTTCCCCACTTACTGCAGGTGGGTTTGCTGACAAAATTCTCCCAAAGTGTGTGAAGCAGGTATTTTTTGTATGAGCCTAAACCAGAGGATGCAGGCTGAGATGGCACAACATGCTCACCAAGTCCTCTTTTCTCTACACCCTCAGACCAGAGCTAATGCAGAGTAAAACCCAGGACACAGACCTCAGCACCAACTGGTTTGCTCTGTAGATTCTCTCCTGGTGCAGGACAATCTCTGGCGCTGGAGAGAAGCCAGATCTGCATCATCTCATGGGCAGGGATCACACCTTCATCCCATGGGCAGGGATCACACCTTCATCCCATGGGCAGGGATCACACCTTCACCGAGGCTGAGTACCTCGATGGAAGCCCTGGAGACACAGTTGATGGACAAACCCAATGTTTGTCTTTGAAATTTGAACAATAGCAACATTTTCAGACAACAATGGCTTTGGCATTTCTTTAGAGTAATTTAGTAAAGTGCATGTGGAAGGATTTGCTAAGAGCTGGAGATATTTAAAAATGCACCCTCTTACTTCTGTTAAGAAAGAATTGGCCTGTAGCCCCTGCAGTGTTGCAGAGATTTAAAATAATCTTGGAGAAGATACGTCCTTGCTTCGCACATATGTTCTAATTTCAGAATAAACTGCAGCAGGTGATGTGCTCTCCAGCTCCACTCCTCCCTTCTTTTCCTGGGGATTTGGCTTTCTTAGAGCGTGTGTGATGGCACACTGAAGAAGGATGTGTATCTGGGGGATGACAAGTACCAAGTGGCTCATCCCAAGCAACACCTATGAGCAGGTTACGCACGTGCAGGGATGCTATAAAAATAACAAGCTCAAGAAGAATCAAGCACACTGCATGTGTGATTAAGACTCCTTTGCTTGCCCTCCATCGCTGCTGGTGAGGGAATTTCAGCCGAGCTCTTGGAAGCAGCCTCCATAACTCCTTCTCTGCAGGCAGTTTGCTGTGCGGGCTCTGCACGTGAGCCACTTCCCATTGCCCTCTCCAGGGAGCCCTACAGCCTCTTCAGGGAGGACGAGTGACAGTGCCCCAACAGTAATTCTTAATTATTTTCCAACTTTGACAATTAATAACTAATAAGTCCTATCTAATCAAATGGGATTTCGAGTCCATCGTCTAAACTCAATTTACTGTACTTTCATAACAGTAATTTTTTTTTGTTCCTTTTCCTTTCCCTGAAGGCACCCTCTTCCCTGAATTCTGTGAGGTGAAGATTAAGCTGACAGATGGTATCAGCAGAAGAATGATTATGAGTTTTAAAAACCTTGATATTTTGGCTTAGTACATCATTTTTCATGCAAATACTGACACGGATATTAGCATCCAATTAGGAAAGTATAAAACTATGCCATTCTGTTACAGTTTACGTTACAATCATTTACTGTTTCATTAAAAATACTAAGTAAGACTGCTCTAAAAGGGATAAAAAAAAATCAATGATGTAACTTTTACATCTGCTACTTTGCTGTTCTGGTACTGTGTGGTAGTGAAAATGGGCTACACATCTCTTTTAAATTATTCTGACTGAGGTGCTGCTCCCATTTTTGGGTCCTAAAAGAGTACTTCGACATGGCTAAGGTTGAAAGGCTTGTGATGAACCTGGGCTGATTTATTTCCATAGGTTATACTATATCTAAATATACACCACCTGTTAGTCAGACAAGGACTATCAGTGATACCTGCTAGCCAGTGATTTAAACCCCAAAAAACAACTGATGATCTACATGAAAATGTTTTTAAATGCCCTCTCTCAATTCCAGTGCGTCAGAGTAAGAAAATAAAGAAATAAAGACCATTCAGAGTCTGAGGAACAGTCATGGATAAGTGGAAAGAAAATCAACACTCACCAGACATTTACTTGTGGTTGTGGTGGTGGCTGTTGATGACATTTCTTGGTGGCACACTTTTCTTCACTTTCGTGCAATGTCTGAGCCAACTCTGGAGGAGAAACAACTTTTAAGTTTAAGAATTAGAATTTAAAAACTGAAAGTCTAATTTTTTGACCAAGGAAAAGAGATCACTGTTACTTCGTGCCACCCTTCCTTTGCAAAAAAGAGATTTCCCTGTCCTCTGTAGTATGGGTGCTCTTGTGATACAAAGCAGTGGGTGAGGAAAAGGAGGGATTGTGAAATATCCAGGGAACTGCAACCCAGGCAGGGCTTTAGCATTGCTACTTCACATCACTTTTTAAAAATAGGGAATAAACGGAAAGAAATTTCTCACACTGATGTGAAGTAAAATATGGAATAACCTATGCTTATTCTAATAACTTCAAAATCTTTCATTTGACTTGAGTATTTATCCCTGTAAACAGTGTTACCTAGTTAGCTTAACATTTCAGTCCAATTCATGCTTTGGAATGTCTTTAAAAGGTTTTCTAGAAAAATGTCTTCATAATTTTGAAATATTTTCCAAAGTGTTTTTGAATCAAAAAACTTCAAGATACTATTTTTCATAAATGTCAGATTTTTAATATGCTAGACTTTGTTATTTTAACAAAGGTGGAATTCAAAAGTTCTTGACCAACTATAGCTATATTAATTGACCTCTTTCTCATAGACAAACAAAATGTTTAAATCTCCTCCTTCTCATCACATCTATTGTCTATGAACAAAATATAATAAGGAAAATCAAGTCTCATGAAATACTGCTTTCCTGAGAAACTTTTAAAAGTTTGGACATGCAGCCACATCATTTAGTAAATTGGTTAATTGTTACATGATGGATAAACCAGGTGCAAGCTAGTACACACAGTTAAACACAGACAATAAAATAATGCAATTTAATATTCTCACCACAAGACTCACATTAGTTAACATTTTCCTTAACTTGAGAGCAAGCCCTCGGACAAGTGGCAGGGACTGATTTACAAAAATAGAATTTGATCAGCTTAAAAAACCTGCAATTTCTAGGCTAAAAAAACCTGTGACAGCGCTCCTTCTTGCTTGGGTTTCTTTTTTCTTTTCCTTTCTATAAAAGTGGACATAGATACCAACTCCCTGGCTCTTGCTGCTCATGACATACTCCAGAGCAACTGTTGGCTATAGGGAGGATGACTAACCTGTACAGACCAGGTTGGGAAAATTCTAGTGGAAATTATGAGTGGTGGAAAAAAACCACCCAGCTCTGCCATCCAAACTATGTTGCACCATAAATAGCAATGGTTGAGTTGCAAGTATTGCTTGCAGGTCACCTTCTGTATTCAGAGGTATCAAAACCTCCAGTGGGCCATTCCTCACCTTTCTAATCCTATTAGCAGTAATGGAAAAATGCCAAGCGGTTTTCCACAAATCTTCATTAGTTCTCTTCAAATTCATATAGCATCCAAGATTAGAGCACAACCTTAGTCAAGAACAAAGACTGGCTGTTAGCCGACCAAAAAATCCCACCCTGTCTGAGAGAGGCACTGCCAATTCTAGTTCTAAACTGCAAGGACAACAGAATATTAGACTTAAGTTTTTTATTTGGAGATGTTGAAGCTTATTTGTTTTACCTTATTTGCACATGGGTTGGTAATGAGAGTGCACTTTCAGTCCATGCTATGAAAACAAGCTTCACAGAAAGCTTTAATAGCCATTACCTTCATCTCTGATATCAAAAGCTACTTGTAAATGCTTTAACATTTGAAACACTGATATAATAACTAGGAGTCTGGTTGATTTTGCAAACTCCTCTTGTAAAATTTTCAGAGACTGATGTAAATTTTTACGGTTGGCATAGAGGGTAGGAAAAAGTGTAGTTTCGTGCAATGGCTGGAAGCTAATGCTGCATAAATTCAAATTCAAAGGAGTATATTGCAGATAGGTGGCCAGCAGGACAATTTATCTAAGGAAGCAACAGATACTCACACACCTGAAATCCCTATAGGGGTTACTCATTTCATTTGGAGAGCAAATATTTTAAATCTTTTCTTCCAAAATGTCAAAATACTGTCATCTCAAAAAGAATCAAAAATCAGAACATCTTTTCGTAAGTGAAATATTTTGACATCTTTTTGCAACGGTACTTCAGGCTTTTTACCACGATATACAGTGCTCGCATCATTCCAGAGGGAGCCATGTGGGAACTTAATGTGGACAATGTAAAACAAAGCAACTGCCTCCTCTGTAGAAAATAAAGAATTTGGAGATTCATGCTACAACGTTTAGGGTCTCCTGGGGTTTTTATTCGTCAAATATAAGTCAGAAGTCTTACAATATCCATTTAGTCCTAAGTGACCTGTTCTTTTCCAGAGGGATTCATTCATAGAGGATACAGGCAGGGGGGCTATTCGTCAGCTTGGAGATAAGGATGTGAATACTCTGCTGGAGCAGCCCAGCCTGAGAGATAGAGGTGAGCAATGAATGAGAACTTCTAGTGTCTGTTCAGGGATGTGCCTGCCATTTATCTCACACTGTATTCTGGCAAACAAAACTCAAGGGAGTATACATTAGAGAATAATCAGACTAATGATCTGCAGAGATTCTTATGTTAATGTTATCTTTTTATACTAAAAGTATGCTTTTAGCTAAATGCCTTTTCAGTTCCCTTCCTGGGCACCTAAATGAATAAAGGGCTGATAATGGCACTTCCATTATTTTAGGAACATATTTACACCTTAATGAAAGAGCTCTTGGGGGGCACAAAAGACAGAGATGCAAGTGCTTAAACTAATACAGAAGTGTTCTGTGGATTGTGTAAGAAATGAAAACAGAAACTGCTTGCCATGCTATCATCTCCATCTTAAAGGAAAAAAAAAACAAATGGTAATGAGATTTATAAAACAGCAGTCAAGCTTCATCCTGTCATTGTACCATACAGGCTATTTCTGTAAGTTATGGGGAAGAAACCTGCAGTAAAGTTTCTTGTACAACCAGGAACTGAGGAATTTTTTTCCATCTGTGAAATCACATTTTCTTTTGTGACAAATACCATCTCTTAAAACAATGACTGACTCGTCTTCAAATACAAATAGCCATCAAAAACCTCTGGGCACCAATGCATTAAAAAATTTGGGGTGCTCTTATCTTGAACATTTTTAAGGCATGCATTTTTAAGGAAAAATTAAAGAAGGTTTATCCACTGTAGTACAATACATCTACTTACAAGTTTACGGAGTGGCCAAGTTCTGGTCTCGTATTCTTCTGGACAGTTCTCAGGTCAGGAAACAGCAAGATGCAACATCTAAAGCCTAACAGAGAAATACAGTAAGATTTTTTCACTTCAGATGGCCCTTCATAATTTGGCATTTGGTAATAGGGAAAAAAAAAAGCATACAAAAAAGGAAAACTGGGGATGGAATCTGAAGTTAAAATTTTAAGTGATGCAAAACACTGAAATACGCCAGCATTTGATCTAAGGAGCCTACAGAATTAGCATAGTGAGCATATGTTCATGTTCAAAGATAACAGACATTTTTGATAAC